CCCCCTCTCTCTCTCCCTCTCTTCCCCCCTCTCTTTCTCCTTTTCTTTCTCGTTCGTAATAATGCAAGAGAGAAAGAGAGAGACGATAATTTAATAGCACAGCCACGCATCCGGTTTTTTTCACCACGATCATATATTCTCTTCCTTTGCTCCTCTCTTTCGACACATACATCTAATTTTATATGTGTATAAATATCATAAATCGTTATTAATCATTCTCGAAATACAAAGTTTCAACGAATTCAATAAAGGTAAACACACTGTGGAAAAAACGGATCGTTTCGTTAATTAAAGTAAATGGTTCCAGATAATATAGAACGAAATAGGTAATTACGTGTATAAGATAAAATAGAATAGGTAGAAATTGTATGGATATCGAAGTGTACTAAGCTATCATCAAAAATAATATCGGTGTAGAAGAGAGTTAGAGTCGATTTCTTGCACCTGTCCTTCGTTATCACGCGCTGGTTATCGTTTTTTTTTNTTTTTTTTTTTTTTTTTTTTTTACCTTTTTCGTTCCTGAAATTGATCGGCCAAAGGATAAAAATATATATATCGCATCAAGACGAATTTTCTCGGGACGAGCAATTACACGATGAACTTTACCGGATGGAAAGTCCATTTTATTGGTTTATTCGCCCGAAAGATCAAGAAGGAACAGGTGTGAAGGAACGATATTACACCTGCGCGAATAACCGTACATCGGTTCTACTGTCGCAACAATATGCCTCGGTTCTTCGATGCGAATGCTTCTCTGATGCACCTTTCATTAATCGAACACACCGCTTTATTTATTCGCGCTGTCGACGAGAGAAAAGAAAGGGAGAAAAAGTGATAACACATCTATCTTTGAAAAATATTCCGTCCAAATTTCTCCGTCAATCGATCCCGTAACATGATCGCGGATATTTCGCCGATGTGCTCTTCAGTAATATTTTTCGATGATGCGATTCGATATCGATACATTTATTCGTGGAGAATGTAAACCTAACCACGTATACGGCTGCGGGTACCCGGATGGATAAAATTCAGCCTCTTTTTTTCCCAAACGATCAAAGCATTTACACGTATATCTTTTCAGCTATATACGTTTTAAATATACACGTGTACATGTATCTTTTATGTTCTATTAATTTTCATTTCGGTCTTTTGCAATGAAAAAGAATTTTCAACCGTTGATCATATCATCAAAGATCAGTTACAAATTTGAATGCGATTCTATTATACAAATCACATGTATCGATAACTTTTTATTTTAAATTTATTTTTCAAGAAGTTAGAAAAATTTGTTGTTTTTATTAATTTATGGTCAAAAATTATATTGAGAATATTTAAAGAAAAATAATTTGAAACTTGTACGAAGAGCAAGTATAGACGCAAGAAAAACGAATAAATAATATGGTAAGTATAGAAAATGAGAAATCAACGCCATCTCTCAGAGTGATGCAAATGAAATAAAGATAATAAAGATAATAAATAACAGAAAAAAACTAGAGCTAGAGTAAGAATGGGAAATCAGCGCCATCTTTTGAACGCGAAAAACATCTCTAAAAGTACTTGAGAGATGTCGCTAATCTTAAATTCCTATTCTATCTTATTCTACTTTCAAAAAGATGGCGTTGATGGCAAATTCTTAGCTCATCTATCATTTTTCGTTATTTGTTCTGTTTCCTATCTATCTTTTTTTTGCAATATACTGCAGACAATTATAATTTACATATTTTTACTTTCTATGTCTTTTTCTTATTATAATCCCTTTTTTTTTTCATATTTTTTGTCCATATTTCATCTATAAAAAATTAATATGCTCGATAGATAGTTTCGATCTATCCGATTAATTTAAATTTTATCGTTCTTTTTTTTTTTAAATCATCGATTTCGTTATCTGCATTGAATAAATATTAATAATTTATTAACAAATTATTTACAATTTATTAGTAATATACATTTTAACTTATAAATAATTCAACTCAGATTTACGATTCAATATATACGTATAATATATGAAAATATATATCAAAGAAATTATTTTTAAATAATTTTGTATAGTCGATTTTATTAATTTTTGTAACTAAATCAAATATAATTTACATGTATTTAAGTTTTAAAAAATATATATACATTCTGATTTTTTGCACGATCATGAAATTATGGAATATGGAATATAAATTAATGTATTCTGTATCTTATTTGTATAAAAAAAAGATGATGTATTCATATTATTTTACATACATTTTACATACATGTGTAAAATATTCTATCTTCTATAATAATAGATGGAACAATCCAGACAAGAAACAGAATAAACATTATATTTTATGAGACTTTGTATCATTTTAAAAAAGATTAAATGTTTCTTATAGTATCTAACATGATAATTGATGTTATAATCTAAGTACATATCTTAAAATTAAATCATTCGAAATAAAAATCTATCTTATATATTTTATAATTTTTGGAATTAAAAATTCATTGAAAATATTTGATAGAAAATGTTATCCATTACTTTTCTATTTTTCAATCACATTTTCTTTCTTTCTTCTAAAGAAAAAGGATTTATTAAGAAAAATTAAAATACTACTGTTATTTTTAAAACAATTATATTGTAGATGTTTATTAAAATTAATAATATTATGTTAACATCATCTAGTGTATTAGAAATATTTGAAAATTTTTACATTTATATAAGAAATACACAATTATTACCATCATTTTGATATTTTCAATGATAAATATAATAATTATATAAAAATTACATAAAATTATATAGATATTATATAGAAATTCAGTAAAAAGAAAATAGAAATAAAAATACTTACATATTTTTTCTTTTTATATAAAAATTTAAGCTTTACCTCTCTTTCGTAAAACATATTGAAAATTCCTTTTTCGGACTTAATCAGCAATCAGTTATTTATCTGCGCAAGAAAAAATCAAATTTTTAACATAATATATGATTGTAAAATTAAAATAAATAACTTAGCTCAAATTCTATTTTAGAAATTTATGATATAAATAAAAAAATATAAATGGATAGAAAAAAAGAATAAATTATTCTTCAAAGAATTATTAATTACAATTATATTCAATAAATAATTGAATAAACAAAATATAGTTTAAAAAATAAAAATATAGAAAATTAAAAACTAATATAAACCATAAGAAATAATTGTATAAATAATTACGGAATAAGTACAATATTTTACTTTATTTAACTATCTCGAGTTTAAATAAACAAAATAATACATTCAGCGATTTCGATGTGTCGAATTACAAATTGGAAAAAAGAAGAGAATGTTCTACTCAAAACATGAGTGCGAATCGTCAATTTCCCGGAAAGACTATTATAAAAAACGTTGAAAAGTAAAACCAAAACAAATATAGAAATAATAATACTCGAGTTGAAAAACATAGGGATGACGCATTTAGGAAAGAAATATGTATACATGAGAATGTATGTGAAATATGTATAAATTGATTATACTGATCTAATTATTAAATATATCCATTTTTGTGCGCATAAAAAGAAACAAAGGAAATTTATAATAACTACGTTTTTGTTAAAATAAATAAAAAACTTACTATATTTGCATATAGTCATCATATTTTTTCTTAATTGTGCAAAAATTATTACACTTTTAAAGTTATCCTGCCTTCGAAACTCCAATTGAACGATAATCTGTATTAAAATAATAAAAATCATACATTACACAAATAATAATGATTAAACAAACTCGTAATTATACAAAATCTAATAATCTATAATTAAATTTAATAATCGTAATACAATATTTTATACAAATATAAATTTTATGTAATTATGCACCTTTAACAACGGAACACAACCTATCGCTACGATTTTCAACTGTAGACTGAATAATATGCGCAATATAATGCGCATTGATTCATTTCTCCAGGTTAGGTCTTAGCGATTTTCTGATTGGTTGAAATCGTATGGGTCTCTATTCATTTTAGCCGCGCGAAAATTGAAGTATATATAAGTAATAATTATATTCCAGTTCAAATATTAAAATTATATTTCAATTTTAGATTTTATATACATCGAAATCTCACAAAAACATTTAGATAATATAATAAGAATAATAAATTATTATAATTAATTTAACATAAAATATATCTAAATTAAAAAATACTGGAATATGATGATGTAAGGATTTAAATCAAATCGTAAACTAAAAAAGAGGCCGAAAAATAAATAAAAAATTTTTATCAAAATTATATGAAATAGACTAGATCTTTATATGTATATCTTTTATGTTAATCACAATTTATTATTTTTATATCATGTATATAAGTCACTTTAAAAAATCTCATCATATTATAATAAAAATTAAAAATTAAGTCCCAGTTTAAAATAAAAGAAAATGAGAACAAGAAGATAAACGAGAGTCAAAGAAAAAAAATAAAAAAACTTTATCATTAAAAATTATAATTACAATTATACTATTAAAAATTTACAATATATTCAAAACAAATAAGTATAAACGTGATATATACTTACATATATGTTATTATTAAAAGTGTGAAATAGTTTTGAGAGTTTCCAAAAGAGTACTCCACTTACACTCGTCACATGACAAATTTGATATTTGTTTAACATGTTACAAATTGCAAAAGCGTAACAAATATTTTTTAAAACTCTGAAATAGAATTTACAAAAATATATTTTCGACATTTGCTTTTTTTTTTTTAAGAAAAAGACAGAAGCTACGGATAGTCATCTTTTTCGGGAGAGATAGTTGAATTATAAATATGTATATTTCATAATAGATAGATAAGAATAAAAATAAAAAATGCAACCTGCACTATTGAAAATATAATCAATCATTTCTATTTTTTAAAAAAATAATTATTAGTTAAATAATAAGAAATTATATTGATTGAAACATAAATAAATTATCAAATAATTAATCAATATACGTATAAAAATGCGAGATCGATCAGAGCGAAAATTACTTTTTATGAGAATTGCTCACAAGAACAAAAGTCAGAGTCTGTCCAAAATAGTATTTTTTTCAACAGTCGATAACTTACATTTTCTCTAGTTAAATACAGTCGATTAAACAGAATACAAATATTAACTTTTCTTGAAAAAAATTTCCCTATACAACCTGTTTCGAATCAATGCAAAAATCATGCAATTTCTTTTTTACCTCCCTTTCTTTTCCTTCCTTTCCGTTATACCATTCAAATTTTCAATTTTGTAAATCAACCGTCAAATATAACAGTTCTAGTGCAAATAATGAAAGTATATACGCGATCGTGCGGAAAATAAAATAAATAAACAGATATAGGCGATCGAGTAAATTCACAAGCAACGATATCTCTCTGAATCATTCTATTATTACATAAGCGTAAAATTCTATTAAGCGGGAAAGAAATTTTAACTTTTTTACTTTCAAGTTCCAGTGAATCACTTTCTAACGAAACATTAATTCTCATCATCGGGGCGGATAACGGATAACCGATAATGTATAATCGATTTTCCTTCGAGCGGAATAGACCAAGTTGAAATTCCGTTAGAACGTTAAAGCTTTTCGAGGCGAAAGTATCGTAATTTTTAAAAGATGTTGGGGTCGTCGAGTGCATAAAAGGATGCACATTGTTCGTTATATCGTAAGACTCCTTCATATTTTCCCCAGATCGGGAGGCATTGATACTTCGCCTCCACTGAAATCGAAGCGATTTTTTCTTTTTCCTCAGCGAAGGTGCATATTTTATTAACTCCGATTTCTCGATCATCCGCATTTTTTATGAATTTGTCTCGTTACATAGGCGCGTCTGTAACTCGATTTTCTTTTTTTTTTTAATCGTAATACGCACAATCACGTGCGCTCGATCGAGTACAAAAACGATAAATTCTAATTACAACGAGACGGTGACGCAACGGTGATACAACGCTGATAGATTACCACGAATATTATTACGCAATACGTTAACACGTGAGAAATAGCAGGTCTCTCGAGAAAGAAACTTGTAATATGCGATATGCGTAGCGTAGATCGGGGATCACGTTTAGGACCAGCAAGTACGATCAACTGATCGACCAACGCTCATTTTCCACTAACTCTGGTAACTTTGCTCTCGACACAGTTTAGATATCTTGGAAAATCATTAAATCGACTCTTCGTTCCCTAGAGAGGAAAGAATAAGAGAGAGAGAAAGAGAAAAGAGAAAAGCTATCATTTTAAGATGTAATCGAAACGAACCAATCTTAACAAATAAACGTAACTAAACTCGTTCTATTTCAGTGGAAACGGAACGGAGAGAGAGAGAGAGAGAGAGAGGAAAACAAGGGAAAAGGACCAATAAAAATTCTTACGCTCGTAGTAGCAGCAGCCTATGACGAGCCTTCTCTTATCTCGGCGAACACGTATACATATAATTTTCAAAGTGTCTCCATCTCTTGAACAATTGTTCGAAACCAGAGAACGTGGTATACTGTATATAATATACTATATAATAATCGGGTAAAATAATAATCGATAAACAATTTTTTTCATTATATCCCACTTTAAAATCAATATCTATGAAAATAAGTTTAAATAAACCCAGACGTTTGAATAAATCGAGTAAGCACACTGGCTATGCCGGATTAATTTCCAGTTTATGTCTCGACAAATATCTCGTAAAACCGAGAGAGTTATTTCATTTTAACGTCTAACGATATCGATTTCTTCCATGCTTCGATTCGTATCTGTAAGAATGTGGAAATTATATGGCGAATTATATTCGAATAAAAAAAAAAAAAAAAAAGAAGGGAAAAAAAGGAATCGTTAAAGTTTAGGGATTAACGCGAAAGGGAAAGAAAAATTAAATAATTTTTTTCAAATTTTTTTTTCCTTTCCTTTTTTTCTTTCCTTCTTTCCGTTCCCTCGTTCCCTCTCTTTAATCCTTTTCGAATGATTAAATATCAAATAGATCAAATTATTATAAAAAAAATATTATATTATATATAATATATTATATAAATATTATATTAACATATATTATAAAAAAAAACAAGGATAACGATTTTATATTTGCAAAAATTTGAATCTTTTTCGTACAGATTTACGAATTATCTGTTTTTTTTTTGACTTCGGTTCAATTTTATCGCGGTGTTCGCGATTCCTTTCCTTCCTTTTTTTCTCAACTAACGACTTTTATCACATTACTGAACCAATACATCGATAATCGATAAATCGATGTATTTTAAAAAAAGAAAAGAACGATACAGTGTTCAAATCGATTTACACAATCGGAAACGATTAAAAGGCTACTTTCGCGAATGAACAGAATTTTTCTTTCTTTTTCGATATTTCTCAGTCCCTTCCCTCATTCGTTTCCACAACTCCCTGTTTATCTTTTTGTTTAAACATTATTTTTCCAAATAATAAATAATTTTCAAAAGTTGCTCGAGATCGAACAATCGTCTCGAGATGTACAATCAATCTTATTATATTTCTATTTCCCTCTTTTATAACGATCATATTTGTTGCACGAGCAAGCGCCATCGTCTCAGGGATATTATTGAAATGGCTTATCGGCCTATGATTTACATACTGACCAACTATAGCGCAGACGGCGCCCTAAGAAAGGGATAAGTTATAAGCGTCGCAATAAACGGTAATAAGATTCTCGAATTCTCGTAAATATCTAAGATGTAGGAGGAGGAAATGAAAAAAGGAAAACGGACAAAATCGGTTTGCAATCTTAACTCGAGATTACGATTCATAAGAAACGATCTATTATTCCTTCTTGATTAATTTGAAACATTCTCTCTCTCTCTCTCTCATTCTTTTTATAAAGAAAATCAGAAAATCAAGATATTTTCGATAATAATACGTATTATATATTGTAATCAAGCCCGTTGATCGAAAATTATCGAAAAATTTCTTTCATGATTTATTTTTTTTTCATCCATATATTATAGTAAAACGCGATAAAAAATGAAAGTAATTTAACATAGATTCGATTTAGATGTGATTTTAACATTCATTTTTCTCGACTAAACGATTTATATTATATAAAAATTATATACATTTTTATATATATATATATAATATATAATAATTATAAAATATATAAAAATATATAATATTATATATATATATAATTATTATTAATATAATTATTTATATTTTTTATACGATATAAAAAATTAATATTTTTCAATGAACGCAACTCATCATAGTTATACAGTCTACATTTAAGAAATTGTTATATGTTGTTATCGAATACGTGACTACCGACCAACGAAATAGTATTTTCTCCCATGAATTTGATCGTCCTCCCTTCATCTTTATTTATACACCCTTTACATTTGATTCACTTAATACTTTAAACGCATTCTCATTCAAAACTGGAAGAATTCGAGACACGATTCGCGCGATCATCGTGACGATAAACGCATGGACGGGGGGACTCGAATTCTGTCTATTTATCTTTTAATTGGGGAAGGAAATTAGGTGAAAAGGAAGATGAGAAAAAAATCGAGGAAAGAAGAGACGGAGACGGGAGGAAAAACGAAAGAAAAATGGATGAAATGTTGCGGTGAATCAACGCGTCGCGACAGCGGAATGTGGTAGAGGGTGCGCGCGTTAGCGTTACGCTCGTTGGTGGTTATCGAAACGATATACGAGAATCGAGGGTAGAAAGCTCGGATGGGGTAGAACACGGAACCGTTTCATTGGTCGAGAACCTTTACGAGTATTGCGGGGTGGGGATGGAAATAGAGATGGGAATGGGGATGAAACAAGTGGCGCAAAGCCGCGGGCTTATATAAACCGTCAACAAGAAATTCGTATTCACAGAACACAGCTCTTCGCCCTCGAAGAAACAACCTTGTGTCTTAAGGAACGACTTTACCGGCATTCCTTATACCTGACAAGGGAGTATTAATCGTAAGGTAAGCGACCAATTTCTGCCTTTCCTCTTCGCACTTTCGTTCTTTCGAAAATAATACACGTAGTTTAACACGAGGAGAAATACGCGAATTCGTTATCTTTTTACGATCTGCTTTCGATCTCTTAATTGATTTTTCAACGAAGAAATTTTCAACAAACGCGCAATATCGAATCGATTGATATCGATACACGCATTTACAAGAATTTTGTTCCAATGATTATTAAATATATAATGATGAATTTAAATCATTCTATGATTCCAATATAATTATATGTCGATTCTATGATTTTTTTCTCTCTCGAAATAAAATATTTATTACAAACGAATTATTAAATTATAGTCTAAACGAGATCGAATATTATAATCGATATTTTCTTTTCTTTTGTTCTTTTCTCTCTCATACGTTGCCAAGTACATTCGTTTATTTCGAATCGAAATATATATCTATGAAAAAAAAAAAAAAAATATTATAATTAGCGATTGGTGATTATTTCATTGATTCAATCAAGCTTTTGAAATATATATGTACACGTTAAATAAATACAGATAAGCAGAAATGAATGAAAATTCTCTTCTCTATTCTAATGTAACGTTGGAATATATATACGAAGAAATATTCAATTTCTTATAATAAATTCTTTCGATATTCGGATGAAAATAATTCGCAGCACGTCCGTTACATTTGTTTCGCGACGTCAATTAAACGGTACGTCGACAGGTAATTGGGTTTGTTGTTGCATTTCCTTTCGACATCGCAAAATTTTTCTTATAAATGTATCTTTCTTGTCCATAAGAAAAATATTAATCACGTTGAAGAAGAAAAATTTTCAGAATACTTGTGTTACAAATGCAATTGTCTAGTATAATAAATTTTTTTATCGTTCTCGATTACCACTTGTAATTTCTAAATCATAATCGAACCGATAAAGGAATCAGAATCGATAAAGGAAACGATGCAACGCGCAGCTGTTCTTCAATTTCTTGAATTTTCATGCTCGATCGAACCGCGATTCGAACCTTGTTGCGAATATACTGCTGCTTAGTCATCGGATGGAAAGCGGAAAACGGAAAACGGAAAACGGAAAACGGAAAACGGGAAACGAAAAATAGAAAACGAGATACGGAATACGGAATATGGACTATAGAGAACGTGATACGGAAAACGGGAAACGGAATCACAAAATAAGAAAAATGCGAAGCACGGTGAAAAAAATAAGAAATAAAAGACAAAAGATTAATAAATGTTATATAAACTAACGATTAATTCCAAATCAATCTTTTATCTATACAATCTAATAGTACGTAATGGTATAATATTTTATTTATTTTTTCGATAATTTTTTCAATAGATCTCCTTTTACTTCTCTTCGTAGCATCTTTTTCCTCAGAAACAAGTACATTTAACCACTTATTTCTCATTTTCTTTTTTCTTGTTTCTTTTTTTTTTTTTTTTTTTGAAAAAAAAACATCACAGATAAATGCTTCGTAATTCTTTCAAAGATTTATACATTTTCAATTTTCATGATGTATATATCCAAATATATTGAATCGTTCTTAACGAATGTAAGTACACGCGTGAAAACGTATCGTCAACATCAATTATCGGAAGCGCTGAATCCAATTATCCCGTGTTACAGCCATTCGGCACGCTCAAAGCGACTCGTGATTGCCTTCCAATAAAATACTAATTGAACGAACATCGATACTATCAGAAATGGAAAGGAGTCGTTATAATCTGAGACGTGAATTACCAACTTCCAGATGTTAATTTCCATAAAGATCAAATTTCTTTATATACGTATAAGTTTCGAATAATTGTGATCAACGCACAATTGTGACAACGTGCTAAAGATAGAAAAAGAAAAGAAAGGAGGACGTGTATCTGTATTTCGCAAATGGAATATTTTATTAAATTACAATTATTATACGATTTATACATTTACTCGCATATACATGTATTGTAACATTCGTTGCGAATCGAAACAATACAACGGAGGAATCTACTCGAAAAGTTGGCCACGATCGGTCTTTCCTTCCTAGATTGTCGGTTGAATAGTTTGTTAGCCGCTTTAACCACTGAATGTATCCATTTTCTTTTGAGATAGTGTGAAAAAAGAAAAGTGGTATAAACATTGCTATTGCCTTTCTTTTTTCCTTTCTTTCAACTTTTATTCCTTTTTCTACTTTATACTTTTTTTTTTCTTTATATCGATGTGTTAAAAATTTCAAATAAAATTATTAAGATATTAAATTTTTTACCAAATATATATATATATATATATATTTCGATCGAGCTCGTACTATTAAATGTATGCACAATAAAATGAATCGATTAATTTTAAAATGAAATCATATCACTTTCAATTCCAGATTTAAAAGAATCATCGAGGATGCAGCAAGGAATCATATCGTTCTATGTACTATTAATGGTTGTGGGTCTTTTCGTGTCGTCCAATCTTTCGACGAATGCCGCACCGTAAGTCTTTTCCGATCTCAATCGATTCTTTCGATTTTTTTTAATAAATCTAATCAATCAATTCGATGTTTTTATTTACTTTTTCCAAACAATACGATGAAATTCATAATCCAGGATAATATATTATAAAAAATGTATATATAATGAATAATAAATGTATATATTATAAAAATATATTATAAAAATATAAATATATATATATATATATATAAAAACGCGAATCAGTTTAATTGTGTATATTATATTACAAAGAAATCGAGAAAAAAAAATATATATATATACGTACAAAGTGAACGGAAGATCCATCTGGCAATGTCAGAAATTTAACCTAGTTCCATTTAATGAGACATCGTTTAATGAGAGAAAACGATTCCAGTGTATCTAAAATTAAAGAGACGAGAATGTTGTATCTTTCCATTCTATCAGTATCGCGTATACATAGCTTGATAAACGAAGAAGTTATAAATTTGATAGTTAAAAAACGACGTTAGTAATGAGATTTTCACGGATATGCTTTTGTTAAAAGAGATTGTCGTTTTCATTTTATATATAGTCAACAAGGATATTGGAGTCAATTTGATGAAGAAGATCCGGAAGCATTGATGGAAATTATTACTCGACTTGGTCACACCATGATACGCAATCCAGAGCTTGAAAAGTAAATATAACATAATATATTATTAAATTGATACATATCACGTTCTTCTAATTAACTTAATCATTAAAATATCTATTATCCGTTTTACAAATTTCTCCGCGTTGACCGCGGTTCCTTTTTACAGTAGCAAACGAGGATTGGATCTCGGTTTGAGTCGTGGATTCAGCGGATCACAAGCTGCAAAACATTTAATGGGACTAGCCGCGGCAAATTATGCCGGAGGACCCGGTCGTCGACGTCGTTCTGAACAAGCTTAGATTAAAACACATTTGATCGATTGATCGCGATTTCGATTATCTCGAATTTTAACATCATAGATGTTTACTTATGCGCCTTCTTTCTTGCATTCGTTCGTAAAGATTTCTTTTCTATTCAAAATCTATCATAAAATATCTAATAATTTTAAAAAGCTGCTTTATCTTTTGATTAATATTATAAATTAAATCTATATTTATTTTAAATTAATTTTCTATTTTTATTTCATATATCCAATTCGCATATTTTTCAATTTATATTTTGATAGTAAAATAATTAATTAAATTCTAGTCATCGTTCTAGTTATAAAGTAACTTCATTCGTACATTATTATCAGAATTCATGAAAACATATGTAGGTAAAATTATATTAAATTATATTATTAAACATTATATAAGAAATTATGATCGATCGAATATCCTATAATTAAAAAACTAATGCGAAAAATCTGTTTCTATTTTTCGATCATGCTTCTTATAGATTCAACGAAGCAATGTTTTCTTTGCGCAAAAATATTTTCAACGACAATTTCAATGCACAATTCTAATCGAGATGATGTAAATTCTATTTCGAATGAATGAAATTATAGGAATATTTTTCCGTTAACAAATTATAATATTAACTATATCATTATTATAGCTATAAATACTCATAATACATCGTACTTTAATATATCATAAGTATATGAATGATTATTATTTATTTTTTGAATTAATTATATATTTTATACCGATTATGTTTTCGAACGAATGCTGTTGAATCCAACAGTCAACGTATCAATACGTATGTAAAGTTAATGAAAATAAATCCAATGTACCTTTATTTTCTGCATTATTTTTACTATTTATTATTTTTTCCTTATCTTTTTAAATTTGCAAATACATAAATAGCTAATCATAAATTATTTTTTTCATTATTACAATATTTAGATTAACTAGTATACAAGAGTCTCTTATCGATAGCAACTATTGCTATATTATCATTGATAACTAACACTGATATTATAATATATCCAAGTAAATACTCATAAATAAATAACCATCAACTACCGAAAATCATTATTATTATTCATTTATAATATATATATATATTATATAGAAATATATAATATATTATATAGAAATTATCATAATAATTGAATAATATGAATTCTTAAAACAATTTTGTCAGATTGCTCGATCTTATATCTTTCTTATATTTTATACTACGCAACTTACTATACTTTGTGACAACATACTCCCCACCATTACGATGTGCATATGAGCGCACTCTGGTGTCGAATACGTTATACGATATTATCTGACGGATCATATCGATACATTGCACATTCTTTCTACCGACATGTGTATTTAATGTGTTGTTTTAAAAAATATAAACATTAATTTTCTACCTAATTAGGAATTATCGCGCGTGTTTTTGTTTTTATCAAAAAATTAATAATTGATTTGTTAATCGATTCTTCTCTTTTTTTCCACATCTCTCGACAACGTTGTTTTTCTTTCTGCGTTGTTCTCTATGCGCAAACGTATCTTCAAAGATATATGTACGTATAAATTTTTAAATGTCATTTGTTCATACTGATATATATGTCTTTCTATTTCGTTTCACCGATCGATTGGGCAATAATAAGAACAACGGTAATGAAAAGTAACAAAAAGTAATGAGAAAAACGGTTATATCGACAAACATTGATCGAAGATTAAATTCAATCACTAATTAATGGTAATAAAATAAATACAATTTTAATTCAATTTCTTAAAAAGAAATGATTTCTTAGAAAGAAATGATTTTTTATATAATACATATACATACATATTATCTGATAATACACAAATGAAATAAAAATATATATATATATATGTATACATATATTCAATATACTGTTTGTATGTGACAAAAAGTCTCGCGTAATAAGGAAAATACATTCCTCTTTTATTACACGATTTTACTTCTAATCTTATCTTAAATTGATTTTCGGTTAATATGCTATTTTATTTATAATATATTATTTTTGTAAATATAATAAATCATCTAAATCAATCAATGAAAGCCGCATTCCTTCCAGATGATTTTTTGCAAAGCACACACAATAGATATAATAGAATGAGCGAAGAAAATAAACAAAAATCGTGTAACAATTCTCAACGAAATAACATAGGTACTCACATCATGGTTTCGATACTTAGTATCGGTATCGGTTCTATATTGTTTGCGTATGTGGCATTTGCTTCAACGATACACAACGGTACACAAACTTCTATACAACAGGTGATATTTGTAAGTACATATATCATTTTGATACATGATTTGATCAGTGTATCATATCCTTCTAACAATTAATCTTGATAATGATTCAACAGGTTTTTCGACATGGAGATCGTAATCCTACGGAAACTTATCCAAACGATCCATATCGGAATTACAAATGGCAAGGTGGTTGGGGAGCTTTAACAAAGGTTATAAATTTTAAATAAATTTATTAAATTGACGAATGGATCTATACATTACATATTATGTTTACATTAATCAATCGAATTTTATAATAAAATAATAAATAACATAACATATTTGCTATCGTAAAAAATTGAAATGTTAATTATAGATTATATTTCTTTGTTTCGTTATATTTACATATCAATTTTAGATATGTATTTTTATTATAATCGATAATTTGATTTTTTATCAATCCAAACATGTTAATATATTTATTTGTTAAGTTAAAATTGATATTTTATAAATTGATAAATTTATAAGATATGTGTTAATGAGAAAAAATATTATTAATATTATTAATATTATATCATTAAAATCGTAAAATTAAAAATAGTGTTTTCGAAACAAAATATCTATACGTATATACATATATTTATATAAATAATCACACAAATAGTTTATTTATTTATTCAACATTAATATCAATTGTATAAGTTTTTTGATCTATTATTATTTTATAAAAGAAAAAATTTTTCCATTGTAAAAATCATTAATATACATAATTCTGAATGTTTCACATTATATACAGGATGGTATGCTACGAATGTATAACATTGGTCAATGGATTCGCACTGAATACGGCTCGATAATTGGCAACACATACGATAGTACTCTATCTCTGACGCAGAGTAGTTATGCGGATCGGTGTATAATGTCCGCGCAAGTTTTATTAGCAGGTTTATATCCACCAACCAATGAAGAAATTTTTGTATCAGGTTTGACCTGGCGACCTGTCCCTGTTCATTCGACTCCTAGACATTTGGATAAGGTATATATTAGCTTTAGACATTGGAATATTACAAAACCAATATATATATCACAAAACCAATATATATATATATGGTATTCTCTCTCTCTCTCTCTCTCTCTCATTTATTAGCATGCATACATATATATATATATATGCTAATAAATGAGAAAGAGAAAGAGAGAGAGAGAGAACAAGCAAAAAAATTATAATTTTCAGATGATTGTAGTTAAAGCACCTTGTCCAAGATTAGAAAAAGCTTTGAAAGAAGCATACGTGAACGAATCTAGACGTCCAGAATCTCCATCAAGCAAATATTATCAAGAACTTTCTAATTATACCGGGCAAAATATTTCAACGATTACCGATATTGAATTTTTATATAACACTTTGGAAATTGAAGAACGCAATGGTTTAAAATTACCCGAATGGACAATCGAATACTATAATCAACAAATGCGTGAAATCGCAGCTCGTAGTTTAGCCATATTTACGAGTAATACATTACAACAACGACTTCGTGGAGGTATAAAAATTGTAAAGGATCCAAAAACTATTCTTATTATAACTAGATATCATATTTACGTATGTAGCTTTTTCTTTCTAGGACCATTGCTTAAAGAAATTTTGGAGCGTTTGAATGCTTTTAATAATCAAAATACAAGACGAGCATATTTTTATTCTGCTCATGATATAACTCTCGTTAATTTGTTGAGAACCATGGGTTTCACGAATGAATATTTTAAACCTGAATATGGATCGACGCTTATTTTTCAATTGCATGCTGGATCCAATTTTACAGAAGACATGGAATTGAAGGTAATATCATTATGTGTCGAAGGCAATCGTTTTTTTCAACTATGTTTGTTTCTTTTGAAATTTTATTTCACTCCCTTTCTCTTAATATTTTTTACTCCTTTTTTCCCTTTTTTACAGTTGATGTATCTAAATGATACAAAAGCTCTTATACCACACTATATGAATATACCTAAGTGTGGTACACCTTGTCTATTAAAGAATTTGATGAAATTGTGGAAAAACGTGCTTCCCGATAACTGGGATAATGAATGCTTACATTCATAATTCTTTTTAAGAATTGTTTTAGCTCATATAAATTGGATACTCATTAACTTGGAATAAATATGAATGAATGATAACTATTCTTTTTCAAGACTATTCTCGAATGTCAAGAAAATACATGTATGTGTATGTGTGTTTGTGTTCAATTTATTTTATAAAAAAATAACAAAAAGTTTCTATTTCTATACACATCCATGATAACACATATAATCGCGAAGTATGCCGTATCATACGAATCAATTCTAATTCGAGCGAAGCTGGTTAAGATTACTAAATTGGCACAAAATCGTTTAACCAGGATGTGTCCGCGTTGCTTACGCAACAAATGACACTGAATGTTTTGCATGTCTCGTTACGCAATTCGAGAACGATTATTCCAAGCACTCTTTCCGTTTAATTCAAATATTCAAACAGAAGATAATGCGTGAATGTCGATTAAATGCCATCGAATACGAATCGTATTAATCGATACATGTATATAAGTATGTACTTATAACATGTCAAACAATTTTATATTATAAATCAAATATATATATACATATTTTTTTATATATATTTATATGTAAAATTGTTTTCTAATAAATATCATTATTAGTTTTAATAAGGAATTAAAGATGAATTAATTTTAATTATTATTAATAATTATATCGATTGAAAAAAGTTTGATAACAATAGAATTAGAATATTTTATTCCTTTTTCTCTTTCTTTTATATTTATGATCTTTTTTTTTTAATAAATAAATAAATGGATAAATAAACGAATAAATATAATATATATATATATATATATATATAATAGATGGAATATGACCGACCTCGATTAACAGTGACGCGTAACAGTGTGCTCATTTCAAGATAAAACTAAACACACGCGTGACTCTACATAGCCAATATCTATATGTACAATATGTATATAGACATATGAATCACTCAGTAAAAGGAGGTTTACTTATCTTTATAGAAAAGAAAAGTTCCTAAAATTGTGTTACTACTGCAGATAAATAATCTTCATATATCAATTATGTATTTTTATTCAATTGACTTCAATTGGCTTCTATTTCAAATATTTCATTAAAAATATAATCATATTTTTTCATTTTAAATCAATCGAATTCATGTATTAATAAAAATTATCTCTCTTTATATACTATTGTTCGTGATTATTTTTTTAATTTTCTTTTTTTATTTATTTCTTTACTTTTTTAAATCATTCATAATTCCAATAAATTCAAGAATAACAAGTTATTCCATATAAATTGATACAATTATGTACATAATCAATTAAATATATCTAATCAATATTTAATAATCATTGAAAATATTTGTACAACTTTTGTTCCTATTTACGAAACAATACAATAACGTTGAAAAAGAATATCTATAAAAATATTTTCCGTTGAAAAAAAAAAGAATGAAAATGTACACAGATGATATAATATTCACTTAATGCAACAAGTAAACAAATAAAAAGAAAAAGAAAAAAAAAAGAATAAGAGAAATGTTCAAAAAATAGAAAAGGGATAGAAAAGAATAGAGGAGAATAGTGAAATGCAGAAAAGAGAGAGGGAGAATAAACTAGAAAATGGAAGGAGGTATACTCAGATGCGCGATGCGCAGTCGTATTGATATACATGTAGAATTGTTCGCGACGTGGTCTGTTGAGTGGTCATATACAACCGGTTGTTTTCTTATGACTAACACGTTCAAGTGATACATGATTCCCTTTTATCGATCGTGTTTTAGAAATAGAAATAAATTGTTAAGTTTCCATCAATTTTTTTTTTAAATTTATTTCGCTGACAAAAAGTGCATCTCAATTCAACGTTTCAATATATATAAATTATACGTGCTGTCAAACGTCGTGCCGTATGATAGTTTTTCATCACTCCTGTCACTATTTGTATATTTTACAGAATCAGTGCAAAAAGGGTAGATTTTGTTTTTATTAATTTCTTAAATATTTTTCATCATAATTTTATTTTTCTTTTTTTTTTTTTTCTTACTGTAATATATACGATATTCGTAAAATATTTATTCATAAATGTATTTATTATTTATTATCATTATTATTTAATAATAAAAAAAAAGAGAAAGATAAGATTCTAAGAATTGTTATATCAAAATTGTGAATTAATATCAAAACCGAATTTAAAAATATGTTTTTATTCAGTAAAAAAAAAAAAACATTTAATATCATGAACATTTATAAAAATTAAATTATAAAATATAAAAATAATTTATAAAAATTTGTAATGCATTATTATATTTGTAGGATTATTATCTTGATTATTATTCGAGATGTTCAGTTGGTTAACTCGGGAAGAAAGCGGTAAACAGGATCTCTTTGAAAATGTTGCTGATGGCCTCAAAAAAATATATAAATCAAAATTATTGCCTCTTGAACAACATTATCAATTCCATGATTTTCATTCACCTCAACTTGACGATCCAGATTTTGATGCAAAACCCATGATCCTTTTGGTGGGTCAATATTCCACAGGCAAAACTACTTTCATCAAGTATTTGCTAGAACGAGACTTCCCTGGAATAAGAATTGGACCTGAACCAACGACAGATCGCTTCATTGCAGTTATGTACAATGAGAAAGAGGGTGTAATCCCTGGGAATGCTTTAGTTGTTGACCCAAACAAGCAGTTTCGTCCACTTTCTAAATTCGGAAATGCTTTCCTTAATAGATTTCAATGTTCTACGGTCGCATCTCCTGTTTTAAAAGGCATATCTATAGTTGATACACCTGGTATCTTATCAGGCGAAAAACAAAGGGTATGTATTTTTTTACAAACTTTTATTAAATTTTATTTTAGTTTAACTTTTAGATTTAATTAATAATCATTTTCTCTCATATTAGGTGGACAGAGGTTATGACTTTACTGGCGTTATGGAATGGTTTGCCGAACGAGTAGATAGAATTATCTTATTATTTGATGCTCATAAACTTGACATTTCTGATGAATTCAGACGTTTGATCGAGGCATTACGTGGTCATGATGATAAAATTAGAATTGTTCTCAATAAAGCTGATATGATTGATCATCAACAACTCATGAGAGTATATGGAGCATTAATGTGGTCTTTAGGAAAAGTTTTACAAACTCCTGAAGTAGCTAGAGTATATATTGGTTCATTCTGGGATCAGCCTTTAAGATATGATGTAAATAAAAGGTGAATAATCTATAGTTATTATTATTTATATTTTATTTTTTTTTGAAATACTAATCTCCATAATAGTATAATTCTATTTATTATATACAAAGCTAAATATTAAATATTTTGTATAAATATTCGAATTTATATATAATCTTTAAAATTAAATATTGTATATATGCAAATGAAAATTATATATATTTGCATTTATTTTCAGATTATTTGAAGATGAGGAACAAGATTTATTCAAAGATATGCAATCATTACCTAAAAATGCAGCGCTTAGAAAGCTTAATGACTTGATTAAACGTGCACGGTTAGCAAAGGTAAACAAGCGTAAAAATGATAACCTATCCACTATCAAACACCGCGCCTTATTACTAATCGATTCATTATCAGTTACATATTGTTCAAAGATTAATGATAAAATTTAATTGTATATCAATTTATAGGTGCATGCTTATATAATCAGTGCTTTAAGAAAAGATATGCCTAGTGTGTTTGGTAAAGATACTAAAAAAAAGGAACTTATAAAAAATTTGGGTCAAATTTATGATCAAATACAAAGAGAACAACAGATTTCACCTGGTGATTTTCCAGACTTGAAAAAAATGCAAGAATTCTTAGCTCATCATGATTTTAGTAAATTCAATACTTTGAAACCTAAATTGTTAGAAGTGGTTGATAATATGCTTGTTAAAGATATTGCTCAACTTATGAGTATGATTCCTCATGAAGAAATTGGTACAACATCAGATTTATTCGTGAAAGGTATCTTTCTCTATTTATCTTTTATCAATATATGAATATTCTCATAATATAAATATGAAGTATATGAATTTAAAAATATAAAAATACATTCATATTTTATTTATTAATATATTTATATAATTAGATTTATATAATTAAATTTCATTAAATATATTCATCAATTTCATCACTTTTATAATCACATATATATTTATATTTCTTTATTTTCGTATTATTCTGAAAAATAATCAAGAGAAATAAAATTTTTTTTTTTATTTTATTATTGTAACTACATAGATTGTTGCGATCGTTCGCTAAAAAAATTTTCCTGTATCTTTTTGTTTTTTTGTTATTTTTTTTCAAATAACATGATAGATACTTTATGAGATTATGTGATATAATATTTTGTATCATAGGCGGTGCATTTGAAGGAGTAGTTGATCAAGTGAGTCCATTTGGATATAAACGAGGGGAAGGTATCGATGCTGGTGCAGGTGAACCGGAATGGATAGTTAATAAGGAAAGATATAAATACAATGCAATATTCGAAAAACTCGGTCCATGTGATGGAAAAATCACAGGTGCAGGTAAGTTTTTATATTTACATGTTTGTAATTTGTATTTATAATTCATTAAATTTCAAAATAGCAAATAAATAGCAAATTTTTCTTGTAAATAACATTATTCAAAGTTTGAATGTAAATATGAAGATACAAATATAAAAAGTTTTTACATTATATTTTTTATTTGCTATTAAATATTAAATAATATTCATTCATTTGGGATTATATTTTCAGCGGCTAAATCGGAAATGGTAAAATCAAAATTACCGAACAATGTACTTGGAAGAATTTGGAAATTATCCGATATAGATAAGGATGGATTTCTAGATTCTGATGAATTTGCTTTAGCAATGCATTTAATTAATGTAAAACTCGAAGGTTATGATCTACCTGCAGAATTACCAGATCATTTAATACCGCCATCGAAGCGGAATGCATAATTTAATTTTCAATATTATATTCATATCTGTTCATTAATATGGTTTGATGTATGTTTGGTATATGTTTACTACGCACACATACAATTATATTTATTAATATATATATATTATATATATATATATATATATATATATATACATACATAACTCGCCAATACAATATCGCCAAATATCAAATCGATCAATGTTGCTAAATTTGTTAAATGTTCGGAAGAATACGCGAACTTTAGTCATGAACTTTATTTCATTAAATATTTTTATAGTTTTTATCCAATTAAAATACAAAAAATTTGAGAAAAAATAATAATAAAATGGTTTTTCTTAAATTGCAAATTGTTTTTCACGCAGCTTAGCTTATTCAATGCTTTCGAAATATACCACATACTTTTTCGAGTTACGCTTTCTATATTCAAACATTTGGATTTTTGATAAAAGTACAAACTTTTACTTTTTCTCATTTTTTTTTTCTTTCTTTATTTCATATCACATCAGGAATTAATAATAAAACTCTGTTAATTTGAATATTTTTTATGAATTGTAAACACTTAGATATGTGAAAAAAATAAAATTATACAGATAATGAAGAACGAACGAATGAATGAATGAGAGAATACACGTGCGCGCGTATGTAATATATTTTTCTTTAATTTTTTGAATATAATTGTTAATACAAATTATTATTATTATTATTATTATTATATTATTATTACAATTATCATAATAATTATCATTATTGTTATTATATTTATTATAATAATAATTATTATTATTATGAAATTTTATTATTATTTAATTATTAAAAGTGATTAATTATTATTATTATTATTATTATTATTATTATTATTATTATTATAGCATATTATTATATCATTAAATCTTAGAAGTGTACAAATTCATTGTATCACTCCATGACTAATGTTTTAATTTTTTTAATTTATCAAATATGTGAATTTTTCCTGTTTTATAAAACAGGAAAAAAATGTAAAAGTATAAGATATTTATATTTTCTAATCATATACTGTGTGTACACAAATGTTCGATAAAGCAAAAGTGATATATCTTTAACAAATATCTTAATCTATGATCAAACAAAGTAAGTTGTTCTTTGGTATTAATAGAAATTTCCATGAAATGAAATCGTTATCGTATCGCAAAAATATATATAATGATACGAGTTATATCTAAAAAATGTAATGTTATTGAATCATTTTATATATTTTTTATTTCTCTATCTATACAATATATATTTTTAACAAAAATTATTAATATTAATCGATAATGTAAACATATTCTAATTTTAAAAAAGAAAACAGAAAATTGATAAAATGACGAATATATTTGAATAAATTTTTTAATATGTTATATTTAAAAAATAACAATACTGCAATTGAAAAATAAAAATATTTCAAGAAATTAAATTGTATCTTTTTTTTTAATATTCACCCCATTTTTATTTTGTATCTTTTTTTACATACATAATAATGTATGTAATATATACATACATAATAATGTTTAGAAGAATTCATTGTCTTCTTTTAATGACATTATATAGATGTGTATGCCTTTCCTTTATAACTTATTTTAGATTAGAGTTATCAACTAAGCATGTTTCGTTACTACCTCTACTAAAAATGATTCAATTTTCCTGTAGTGAATTTTTATAGAAGAAGAATGCCTAATATCATATTGTCTTATTATTACATTTAGCAGACGTGCTTTGACGAAAATCTGATCACGTGACTTACTTAATGTACAGTGGCAATGGAGGATAATATGACGTCATGTATTCTCCTCCTATGGAAATAGGGGAATTGAACCACTTTTTCTTTTGGTAGAGGGGATAACGTATTCGTGTACCGTGTTCATACTCTGTTTTGTGTTTATAACCTGTCATATGATATGTTCTAGTAATTGATGCATTTAAAGATACATTACGAATTAATCATTTATTTATAGTCAACATATTATTATTTGAAGTCAAAAATAAACTCATTAAACAAAATTCTGTAACAACAGAAGTAAAGAAAGTAAAGAAAACGAAAGATATAATATATGAAATTTTAACAGAAAATTACAAAATATTACAAATTTATATCTAATATTACGAATATTATCGAATTTTCATTTCTAAATTATTTCATACATTTTAACAAATGACTGTGGATGGCACTAACAGCAACGAGCAAGTTATTCTTGTAACAGGTGGTTATGATCATACTATCAAAATATGGCAACCTCATACTGGAGTTTGTCAACGTACTGCGGAACACACAGATTCGGTAAAATTTTAATATTGAACGATATATTCTACTTCAAATCTCATTTTCTTTAAAATTTTGTTATTTTTAGCAAGTTAATGCTTTAGATATTACTCCTGATAAATATTTGATAGCTGCTGCTGGATATCAACATATAAGGATGTATGATTTAGTTTCAAACAATCCAAATCCAATTATTAATTATGAAGGAGTATCAAAAAATATTACAGGCTTGGGTTTCCAGGTATTTTGTAATTATATTCTGTTGATATTAATAGTATATTATTTTTTAATTGTAAAACTATTTTCAAGACGTTAATTATAAGATTATTAAAATATTTTATTATATGTAGGAAGAAGGTAAATGGATGTATACAGGTGGTGAAGACTGTTCAGCTCGGATTTGGGATCTCAGGCAAATACAAATACAATTTAAATACCGTACTAATTTCTTTGCATAAAATGTAAAAATAATATCGATAATAATAACAATAACAAAAAAACAATTATAATATTATAGGTCAAGTAGTTTTCAATGTCAACGAATATTTCAAGTATCAGCTCCTGTCAATTGTGTTTGTTTGCATCCAAATCAAGCAGAACTTATTGTTGGTGATCAAAGTGGTGTTATTCATTTATGGGATCTACGATCAGATCATAATGAACAATTGGTATGAAATATATAAAATAAACTCATTTAGTATGTTTAGGAAATATTTTGTTTTGTTAGTAATCCATCAATTAATTAATTTTAATTCTATCTCTATTTATTTAAATAATTATTCCTTATGTAAAGATACCAGAAGCCGAAGCATCTGTGCAAGATGTTGCAATTGATCAAGATGGTACATATATGGCAGCAGTAAATAACAAAGGTCATTGTTATATTTGGACACTTACAGGAGGAGTAGGTGACGAGCCTACGCGTCTTAATCCTCGTCACAAACTTTCAGCACATAAACGTTATGCGCTTCGATGTAAATTTAGTCCTGATTCCACGTAAATATATTAATTATATATAATAAAATAATAAAATTATGTAAAATTTGATTTAACATTATAACATTATAATAGATAAAAAATGTGTATCTTATTCAGACTTTTAGTAACTACGTCCGCTGATCAGACTGCTCGAGTTTGGAAAACTACGGATTTTTCTGAAGTACAAGTACTTCAACATGAAGCAAAACGATGGGTCTGGGATGCTGCATTTAGCGCAGATTCACAATATATATTTACCGGTAACAACATAATTTTTTTTTTATGTTTTATTATATTTTGTTTTAGATTCAATTTTAACATTTTATTCAATTTAGCTTCGTCCGATGGTGTTGCAAGATTATGGAATGTATCAACAGGAGCAATAGAACGAGAATATCAGGGCCATCAAAAAGCAGTTACTGCTCTTGCTTTTCGTGACGAAGTACTTTCTGTTTCCTAAACGATATATTTCTTCAAATTTTTAAATAAAATATCGCATTTGTACATTTTTAATAATGAAGAATATCACTTCAACTTTAAATTTATAGTACATTATCTGTATTTTCGTATTTTTTTTGTTTGTTTGTGCCTTTCTTTTTTTTCTATTTTTCAATTATTATATTTATTTTGATCTTTATTGTATACGATTATAATATGTTCTCTCTGTGTATTTCGATCTTAAAATAGATTTGTTGATATTTTCGTTTATGTAATCACAACATGACTTATAAATATCTACATAACATTAATATTCTCAGAATATAATAATAAAGATAAAACTGTAATTACAATCTGAGAAATAAACTAAAAGAAACAATATCTTTTGAAAATTCATATCTTAAAAAACAATATATTCTTCTTTTGGCTATTAAAGTCTGTAATTCTTGAATTTAATTTATATTATAATTACACTTTAAGTACTTTAAACTAAAGGCAATTTTTCTACTTCACCCATTTCTGTGAAAGTTTCATCATCCATGGTATAACTTAACATAAATTTTAACGATACCGTTTCCTGTTAAGAAGAAATTATGTGATTAAATATAAAAATTATGTTTATAAAAATCGATAAATGTTTGAAATATAAAAGATAATTTTCATTGTTTTACCTTGGTAGGATTTGCAATTAACATAATTTGAGTAATTGCAGATGGAGGTAAAAATGGATTATGACCAGGTAATTCTGTTCCAGAAGGTGACTGAAGTCTACATTTACATCTCTAAAAGCAAAATATTATTAGTTTTAAAAATTATCATTAAATTAATCGAATTAAAATTATTAATTATTTATATTAACAATAATAACAATTATTAAATAAACATATTTAAAACATACTTTTGGCACCACTGCTTGAAATAAGTAATTAGTAAGTGGCTTCAAATTTTTACTCATTGTTGTAATTACTACAACAAATACATCTTTTCTTGGATTATCTCGAGCAAAATGAAGCACTACAGATATACCATTTTTTTCTTCAATTACTGTTATAGGTGGATTAATACCTATTGAAAAAAACAATAAAATTAATTAACAAAGCAGTTTTTATTAACTTATTAATTATTATATGTATTTAATTAAATATGATATTAATTATAAATATATAAAAACGATACAATATAATATAGAAATAAAATGAACAAAAAAAAAAATATTAATTACCTGGTTTAATATCATGAAGATTGATATTAATGTCTGTCAATGGTTTAATTTCAGGTTCTGGACTAATTGAATTTTCTGTTGACGGTGTTATTGAAGCAGCATCCCATGTACTTAATCGATTATTACATTGATTTGTATCTATTTTTTCATTTACATCACATTCGATAATAGTTTGAGAATTTGTATCATTATAAGATGGAAAGTTATCATTTGATTTAAATTGAATATCAGATACTTTATCATTTTTCATATTTGTAGTCTTTGATAAGTCAGAAAAATACGAAGAATTGCCACTGCGAGGAGAGGTCGTTGAAACATAATGTTCTGCTAAGGGTTCGGTATTTGGTGGGCGGTTTATACTTTGTTTACTACAGAGATTAAAAATAAAAGAACAAAAAAAAAAAAAAAAAAAGAAAAAATGATATAACTATATATAATGAAAATGATTAAGAAGTAGAACAAATATATGTTTTACTAACCTTGCTGATTTCAAACGTGAATTTGATACTATGCCTGATAAACTTTGTTTAAGCAAAGAATCCAATTCGTTTAATTCCTCCAGTGCTTTTGCTTTACTGTCAATTTTCTTTTCAGATGTGTTGATTAATTCATCTGAAAATGGAATGTTACTCACCATTTGTTCATTTTTTTAATTGATCAAATTCATTACTAAAGACGTTTGATTTGTTCAATATTATCAGTGTTATTGAATCAAAAGAACATATATTTTAAGCATTTTATGTTCACGGACCTTTCTTATTTTTAGGTAAAATATTGAGCGGCTGCATAATTGAATCAGTCATTAAGAAATTTGCATTGGAAACTGAAGAAATATCTGAATTTTCAGATTTTCCTAATGAATTGAAAATATCTCCTAAAACTTCCATATCTGACTGATGATTTGTTGTCATTGCATTGTAACTTGCATTTACATCATCACTTTTAACAGGAATGGTCTCCATTGGAGAGGATAAATCTAATAAATACGGACTGATGTTGGAATCTGTCTTAGGTTTTATACATTTACCATGAACTATAATTGTAGTATATTTCTCAAATACTTGTTCCAATTCATCACTTGCAGCAAGTACATCACCTATATATAAATAAATTATTCAAATATAAAATAATCTTAAAATTCTAATTGATAATTATAAATTTAAAAATTAAAAATTAAAATTTAAAAATTATATTATTCATAACTTGACTCATACTAACAAAAGTATGTATAAATTTTTTAATGTGTAATTTTATAACACATAAAATATTTATATTCATTATATAAATCTTTAAAAGATATTATAAAATACTGACCAAGCATTCCTTCATTATCTTGAGTTTCATTTGCTAACCTTAGCACAATTGGTTTCAATCGTTCACAAGCTTGATATAATTCTTTCATTAATTCAAGATCTTCTGTACTAGTTTCATTACAATTATATGAATCCAACATTTCTGATAATAACTTTGCATTGTTATGAACAGATTCTAATTCCATTATCCTACGTGAATTTAATTGTACTCTTCTTTCATCCTATAAAATAGATGATTAATGTATTCTGCAAAATTTTGTAGTAATTTCAAATATGACTCACATACCTCTCTCACCATAGTTTTAATTAATCTATTCGCTGCTTGTAAGTCATCAGGATTTTTGCTTTGAAGTAATTTTTGCAACAATTTGGATTTCTCTTCATCATCAAATATTGTGTTCTTAGTTTTTAATACTTTTAATCCTTCTTCTTGTACATTATTCATAGATATAGAATCATCCTAAGTGCATATATAATTTTCACATTTTCACAAGAAGAGATTGGAAAAAAAAAAAGGTTATATTTCATAAAAAATAACATATAAAACTTACTTCGATAACACCTTGTTTTTTTAACATTTCATAGGCTTCCTTGATTTTTAATTCTTTTGGATATTCCTTTGTCCACATATTTAACAATTGCAATACTTTTTGACGCACTATAGCTGGTGTTTTACCACCCAAATATTTTGGTGAAACTAAACGAATCATTTCATTTAAAAAACGAAATTTTCCAACTTCTGCGTGAAAAGATGGACCACATCTTCTCATACATGTATCCAATAACTATGTAATTAAAAGTCACAAATATATATTACATAAAAATTATGAAAATTTAAATTTTCTTTAATATATATATATATATATATTAATTTATTATTAAAAATTATTTTTTTAATTTCAATTTATATTCAAATAATATCAGCCATTGAATATCAAGCAATAAATGAAATAAAATAATTAAATTGAAATAACTTTTATATGCATATGTATGTACAGCTCTTGGAATAAAATAATAAAATAGTTTTAAATTTGAATTTATTATGTAAACAAAAATTGGAAAAAAAACTTACAGCAAGAGCTTGAAGTGCTTCTGTCTCATTAGATGACTGAATATGCAATGCTAATAATTTAGTACCAATTTGAATACCTTCTGATTCTTTGGTAAGCATTACGCAAAATGCTTCAATTGCAGCTATATCAGGTTTTTGATTTTGAGGATTCGTTACCCTTTCTATGAGGGAAAAAAAAAGAAGAAAAAAGAGAAAAAGAAAATATATTTAATGAACTGACTAAAACTTGAGATCTATTAAATGGACAATCTATGATTATAAATATTTCGAAATAATATAAAAAAAATAAATCGAATTTTTACTTACGCATTAGGGCCTCTAAACTTGTTGTTACAACATCCATTTCTATGATTTTTTTACAATTTCTTTAAATTTATGCGTTTTAGGTTATATGTATTTATTTGACAGCCAAGACGAACAAAAGTTTTAAAGATACCATTTTGATTTTTTCTTCACAAACAGCAATCACCTTAAAATTAAATATAATATGTTTTAATGTGTAAAATTAATATTCTATCTAGTTTAATTCCTCTAACGAAGATACATTAAAATGTTAAAAAAAAGTTTCTTATGAAGTTTACAAATGTTTCGTATGCAAACAGCTGTTTGCAATACAATTTACTGTAGAATTCTATTCGTAACTTTACTGACATGAGGCGCTATAATAAATGATTTGTACAATACCGAAGACAAAAAATATTTACAAAAGAATTCTAGAATTTCATTATTAAATGTGTATATGATAAAAAATTTTCAATTATAATTGCAGTTTTATTGTGTTCTTTAATAAATTAAGTAGATTAACATTGAGTTCATTTATGTATAGTCAATGTATTAATATTCGAACCGTCTTATCTGAATTTAGTATTTTCTTATATAAATATTCTTGACATGTGAAAATATCATTTAAATATTTTTTCTTTATAATATATGACAATGTTAATCATTTATGTATTCATTAATATAAAAATACAAAAATTCTTTCTAAAATATTTATTGTAAAATAGATTTTAAAAGAAAGAATATTATATTGAATAAATTATTTTAAATATGTAAAATACTTAATCAAATTTAAAATAAAATGCATAGAAAAGATTTCATTTATATTTTCTGAAAATTTTAAATATTTTTACATATTTTTAATATGATGTTTAATAAAATTAAATATGTTTAAAAATTTAATATTCTTATATTTATATTCTTTTATCCTACAGATAAATATCATTACTACGAAAATTATTCATTATATTATTCATTTGGAAAACTAGAATGATTTATTAAAAAAAACTTTTTATTTTAATAATAAATTTTGTTCGAAACACTTTTTTATTACATTGTACAACATATTTAAAAAATCGTGATAATAATTACGCGTAACATATAATTCATGAAATACAACAAATTTAATAAATCAATGTTTATATTTTTTTTGCATTTAATCTTATTTTACAAAACGTTGATAATTTTATTTTTTTAAGATTTTTATTTTTATGTATAATAATTCAAAAATTAATTCAAAGAAAATCAATTAATTTATTAATGTTTTCTATCATTTTCACATGAAATAAAGTTAAAAATATTATTGCATATAATAAAGTTTTTAACTTTTTTTATTTGTTTTAATATTATTTAAGTTTTATTTAATATTATTTAATATATAGTTTTTAATTTTATAGATTAATATTTGATATATAGTACTTGTATTTTTAATATTTTTTCTTTTATTTAAAACCTTTTTTTTTTTATTACATTTTTTATTACGTACATATATAAACATTATTTAATTTTATTTTTCATTATAATAAAAAAACATGAATAAATTTATTAATAAATATTTTATAGAAAAATTAATAAAAATAATATTAAAGATTATTTTTTTAATATTCTAAATATTGAAATAAACTTTTGGTTGTAAAAAGTTTAGAGAGAAAATCTTAATTTAATTTCCAAACTTCATTTTTTTGTAAATAAATCCTTATATTAATAAAATTTTTATTTTACTTTTAAATAATTTTTGTATATAAAATCACTCAATTTTCACTACGCAATTCACGAAATAACCTATACATGTATGAAAATATTTTAATATACCTTGATAAAAAATAAATAATTTATATATAATTTTTAATAAATTTATTAAAAAAAAAAAAGAAATTTTTTGATTATATCATATAAAGTAGAATCTCGATTGTTGCAATCTCTATCACGGAAATTTTAACTATTCTTGTATCTAAACAAAAGTTTAGTCTTCTCTTACATGTCAAGTAACTATCAAGTAACTATGTTTTTAACTGTATTTTTTTAAAAATTATTTTTCACTATTTTTTTTTGTTTAATATCTAGAAATTCAAAATAGGAAAAATCTTTTTTTTAATTATATGATTAATACGTATTTATTGTTATTTACACAACAATAAATCCATAAATATAGGATTATCTCAGAATAAATCAGATTTATCAGATGGCAAAAATGGATAGCCAAAAATGATTTTAATTTCATTTCCGAACAAAAAAAACATTTTTCAGGCAAAATTTTAAAAATGAAATTAACTAATTCTTGAATTGTGTAATGCGAATGAATTATCAATAAGAGATAATTTTGAAAATAAATAAAATATGTAGAATAAAATTTTATCATTAATTTAATTATTATTATAATAAAAAATTAAAAATTATTATTTATAATAAAAAACGAAAATATATATTTATATATACATACTACGAGCGAAGCATATAAAATTTTTTTCTTTGAATTCATTATTTTTTAAATATAATTATGCAAGAAAAATATAAAATCTAAAATATTATTCAAGTTAGAAAAATATCTAAATAAAAAAAATATTATTTAAAAAGTGAGAATTATTATCCTTCTTTTTTTTACATTTATTATAGATAAAATGACTACCATAGTTATACTTTAAATGCACATATGTTCTTCTTTAATGAAAACATTTATTGAAAACATTTCTCAAACTAATTATTTTTTAATTATGTTATTTTAATATTTATCTACATAGAATAATATAAGGAATTCAATTGTGTCAAAAAAAATTTGTTGCATTTCAAAAAATATAGATGCATACATACATATATATATATTTTTCCTTATCTTTTAAACATTTTGCTTTTTTAATTATAATCAGAAAAGAGATGATTTATTCCATTATATCAGTCAACTTGTATATGATTTTCACATTTATTAAGCTATGGGACATTGGATTTCTAAACATACAAATCTTTCGTATAAAAGTATCACTAATAATCATTTATTTCGATTTACAAGAAATTAAATCAATTCTAATTTTGTATCAATGAACTTATTTCTTACAATTATGATTATAAATAATAATTATTTTTTCAATGTTAATCTAAATTGGAAAAGATTCAAATTATTCGTGATGGCAGCACATGTTATAATGTACATATTTTACATTATTCGTCGATTCATAAAATAAAAATACTTAAAAAAGTTTCACTGACCAGCATTTATGTGTATATATCTACAAATATGCATATTCACAAGAAGAAAAAGAATTCCTTTTATATTAAAGTTATCGTTGTTTTCGTTTTTTTTCTTTTTTTTTACTTTTACTTTTCTTTCAATCCATTAACATATTAATAGCATAGAAAAAATATCACGTAAAGATGATGAATATCAAAATGTATCTTAAATTCAAAATATTTTACAGAGAAAAAAAGTGGTAAAAGAACTCAATAGTGGAACACATTATTCCACTTGCCATTTAATTCCAGAATCCTTCTTCCTTAGCTTTTATTATTCTTTTTCTTTTTTATTCAGTTATCCTTATTGATAAAGATAGTAATCTCGTACTATTGATATACTTTCAAAATGCTTTATCTCATGAAATTAAATGTTGAATCACTAAATTCAATAAAGCCAATAATTAAATACGAATATAGGCATACTGTGTGAATCTGTATACAAATTCATGCATGAAATTTGCTGCACTTTTCTATAAAACTCGCTGTATATGGTGTAATATTAAATGAAGAATGAAGTGTTGCTTTTTCGAAAAACATAATATTTACAAATGATTTACAGTGTATGTTACAGTCTTTTCTTTGGTAAAGATCCAAAAGCAGATATTACCGTTGCTTTGGTACCAGTTGCAGACGATGTTAAAGTAGTAAGAGTTGGTTGAGACAACAAAACAGTTGGTTTTATCGAGGCAGTAGCTCCTGTTGCAACTTGATCCCATTTACTTTTCCTTTTTTTAGCATCATCGTCTGTTGTACTAGAATTATTGGGTCGTTTAGCTGTACCAGAAACGATTTCAATTTTTGTTTTCTCTTTCCTAGCCTTTTCAAGTTTATCCATCTCGGTTTTTTGAACTTTGGCAAGTTCCTCATAATACGAGTCTTTACCCCACTTAAATGGATCAAATCTGTCTGGAGGATAATTAGTACCCAATTCATTGATGCTACAAAATTGAATTAGCTTTTCATAAATGGATGGATTTCTAAAATCCTTCCTTTGTTGAATAACTTTGTTCATATCCAAACCACTGCTCTCCATTTTCCTAAAAAGTTTTGTTATTTTTTCCTGCAGTTCCACAGGACACTGCCCTGGTGGCTCTGGTGGTATAGTGACGCCATAGGAGTCCACCTCGCTATCTGAAACTAATTGTTCTCCTTGACAACAGGGAGAGCATTCCATAATCGAGGAGGGCCTTCCATTTTCAAAAGGCTGTCCATCGATCTGTGTCTGTACCACTCCCTCGTCATCGGAGACTATTGAATCATCAAAGTATGAAACCAATCTCTGCACCTTAGATGTCACATCTGTTACTAAGGTGGGCGCGTTCGACAAATCGTTACTAGACTTGCCACCGACGTTGGGAGCAACAACGGGACTATTTGAGGCTGATGTGCCAGATTTGGGACTGGTGAAAGCCTGGGGCTGACCGACTTGGGCATTATGCGGGGCGGCCCCCTGGGGAGTGTTCGAATTCTCCTGAAGGTCGTCTTCCACCCCGTCTTCGCCCTCCGAGTCGGTATAGGTGGCCGTGAGAGATGCCAGAGCAACACTTTGTACAGACATGGTTAGTTGGCTTTGAGTGTCCGCCGTACTACCAAGCAATATTTTGTGTTGGAACTCACCGGTATAGCGTAGAGTTGTACGCCTTTTAGTTGTATTGGGCTTTTACATATATAAATATGCCTTATATCAACATTAAATATGCCCCAATGTTTTGTTGGAAAATCTATTACTATACCGTATCTGAAAAAAGAGTTTCAAATATATAAAATATCCATAAATTATCATTATATACTTGAATGAAAAACATACATATAAAATATTCCAAGTTACACATTTCATTAATAAGTTTGTGATTCCTTATTCTATTTATGATAGATAGCTATTAAATGAAATAGGAAGAAAAATATTAAAAATATTTAACATATATGTACATTTGTCGTATAATTTAAACATGCTTAAACTCAATCAATTTTATCGATATTTTTATAAACAGTTTGCAAATTATTATTTTGATTTATGAAAAAAACTACTTATTTTAAATTTACTAATCATTTGACAAGCGCATCAGGTTATGTCATTAAAGATTAAAATTGTATGCGAAAGTTACAACCAACCTGACTATACGAATCCACAGTTTTCCTGCTTACACTATACCTGATTTTCCATTCATTACAATAAACTTACGACTTATTATCCTCCTATTAATTAAAGTTTCCTTGGCCGAAAAATTCGAACGTTATCAATGTATACCGTGATATTCTAAGTTCTTGTACTCTTTTTACGAATTATGATGATGCGCATGCGCAAAATTAATAAAATACATACTTTCGTGCTCTTAACGAAAGATTAAAAAAAACTTGAAACAAGTGTAATTCTGACCTCTGCTATTTTTTTTTCTATTGTTATTATAAAGTTTTTCTATTGTTTTCCTTTTCTTAATAAAATGAAAAATTACAAAATTATATTGAAAACATATAACTTTTTTGTCATTGATAATTTAACAATTTAATTTTTTTATATTTTATAATTATCTTATTAAAAATTGTCAATTATTTACTTTGTATTTTATTATGAAATTGAAGAAATATTCAAAAAATATAAAATTCTATGTATGTATCGATGTAAACTTGTTTTTCTTCTATGAAAGAAAATCTTGTCTTTTTAACGAAAAGTAATAAATTAAACGAAAGCTTTTTAGAAAAAAGAAGGAAAGATAAATGCAAAGAGTATTGTATTAAGTTAAGTATTATTTTTACATATAATATAACATACTCTAAAATATTTACTTAAGATTAGCACTCATATTTACTTTGAATGCTTTAAATATTAAATACGCGTGCGTATGTACGTCACCAATGCACCAGTTACCAGTGTCAGAACACGAAATACGAGTAGTGAGCGACGTTGAGTTAGAGCATGTGTGTCTTTATTGACGTATCTGATTGAATCCACGTGTAATTTAATAGGAATTGGATTTTGACATTATTAATTATCATGGTGTTAGATTTAGATTTATTTCGAAAAGATAAAGGTTTCGATCCTGATAAAATAAGAGAAAACCAAAAAAATCGTTTTAAAGATGTAAATTTAGTCGACACAGTGATTGAGAAAGATAAAATTTGGCGTCAGCTGCGACATAAAGCTGATAATTTAAATAAATTAAAAAATGTATGTAGTAAAGAAATTGGAGAGAAAATGAAAAAAAAAGAAGCAGTAGACGGTGACGATACTGTCTCAAAAGATATTCTTGAAAATCTGGAAAATTTGATCCCTAATAACCTGAAATCGCTAACAGTTGCACAAATTAAGACTGTTCGTAGTTTTATCGATGATGCTATTCGAACTAATGATAAAAACTTAATTTTAATTGAGTTTGAAAGAAATCACGCACTTAAGGAAATAGGAAATATTTTACATGAATCTGTACCAATTAGTAATGATGAAGAAGAAAATAAAGTATATTAAATTATTATATATATAAATATATAATATATATATATATAATAAATTATATATATAAATATATATAAATTATTATATAATTTAATATAATGGATTTTTATATATTAATAATGAATAAATAATAAATAATGAATAAAAATATCTTTTTTATTTTTAGGTCGAGAGAACATATGGAGATTGTATGCAAAAAAAAAAATACTCTCATGTTGATTTAATACATATGATTGATGGTATAGATGGAGAACGCGGTACTACTGTTTCAGGGGGGCGTGGTTATTTTTTAATAGGACCAGCAGTTTTTTTGCAACATGCATTAATTCAATTAGCTCTTAGGAAATTATATATAAATGGTTACAAACCACTTTATACGCCATTCTTTATGCGTAAGGATGTTATGCAAGAAGTAGCACAATTATCTCAATTTGACGAAGAATTATATAAAGTATAGGATTGATAATTATATGTATAAATATAAATATATAAATATTAATAATTTTGCTTAAAGTTTTACCTTATTTTTAGGTAATTGGTAAAGGTAGTGAACGCAATGAAGATAAAGAAATTGAAGAAAAATATCTGATTGCTACTTCTGAACAACCAATAGCTGCATTTCATAGAAATGAATGGATTCCTGAAAATATTTTACCAATTAAATATGCAGGATTATCCACATGTTTTAGACAAGAAGTTGGATCTCATGGACGTGATACGAGAGGCATTTTTAGAGTTCATCAATTCGAAAAAGCAAGTACAACTTTAATTTTACTTATATAAAAAGTATAACAAATTTACATATTATAAATATAAATGGATAATAGGTGGAGCAATTCTGTTTAACATCACCATATGATAATAAATCTTGGCAAATGATGGAAGAAATGATTTCAAATGCAGAAGAATTTTATAAATCATTGGAAATTCCTTATCGTATAGTAAACATAGTATCAGGTGCATTAAACAATGCTGCTTCAAAGAAATTAGATTTAGAAGCATGGTTTCCAGGATCAAATGCTTTTCGCGAACTCGTCTCATGCAGTAATTGTTTAGATTATCAAGCAAGACGTTTATTAGTCAGGTGATAAATGATAAACTTTTATATTAATTTATTTTATTATATATTATATATTTATCTGTATATTATTTTTTTATTTTGCGTTATTATTATTATGTTACTAATATTATTAATGTTAACCTCATCCTTATAAATATTATATTGATATAATTGTAATTTTATATATATCAATGTATGTATTCTAGATATGGCCAAACTAAAAAAATGAATGCTAATACAGATTATGTTCATATGTTAAATGCAACAATGTGTGCGGTTACTCGTGTTATATGTGCGATTTTGGAAGTACATCAAACTGATACTGGTATCAAAGTTCCAAAGGTTCTTGCACAGTTTATGCCAATGGAATATGAAAATGAAATTCCATTTGTTAAATCAGCTCCTATTGATGAAACAGAATTAAAAAAACAAAAAAGGCAAAAAGAACGGAAAGATATCGCCTTTTAATTTCTTTAAACAAAAATGATGAACTATTATCTAAGTATTATAGATAATAAATTCAATATGTTGATGGAACAAATCTCTCATAAATATATTAGAGAAGATTAACATTTTTTTTATTAATTATACGACGATACATATTTACAAATTAATATAATATAATAATGAATAAACTACAATATCTTTTAATTTGTATATACCAATACACTTTCGATATTTATAGAAAAATGCAGCTTAATAATTTAAAATAATTAATATATTGGATTAAATGCTTACAAAAGCTTTAATCAAATGCTTTCTGTTACATTCAATTTTTTCAGAGATCTTTTCCTTTCTTCAGCTTTTTTTAAATTATTCAATACAGAATGTTCAAATTCAATATCTGACATGTTTTGATTTACCTGTCATATAAGATTTGATATGAAATGAAATATAAAAAAATTATAAAATAAATAAATATAAAAAATTAAAAAGTATTGTTATTATTTATTAAAAAAAATATTATCTATTATTACTATTAATTATTATCAATTGCTATGCTTATTTGCTATATTTACCGTATGTTGTGTAATATCATTGTAAACAGTGCTTGTATTAAAAATATTTGATTTTTTTTGTTCATCCCATAATTTTTGAAGTTTCAATGGATTTTGTGCTAAACCAAGTTCATTTAAAGCCATTTCCTAATAAAAAATATAATTTTATTCTCAAATTAAACAATTAAATAAAATGAACAGATATATATAATAATAAATAATTAAATAAATAATAACTTACTGCTTCATTTTTTTCTCTATATTCTATTAATGCTCTGCCTTCTTTAGTGGAAGAGATAATAAGAGCAGTTATGTTTCCATACTAAAAAATAAAATAAATATATATTATAATTATGTTATTTGTTGACAAAAAAAATAATTATAAAATACTATAATAAAATACTATAATAATGATATAAACCTTCGAAAATATTTGATACAATGTATCATAATCATATTCATTATTATTAGATTGACTTTTACGAGATTTCCATTTCACTTTTAATTTATAAGAACTAGTATCAATTTCTGATTCCTTATGAAATGTCTTTGATCGTTCTTCAAAATATTTTTTCATAAATGCTATTTCTTCCTCTACTTGTTTCGATCCTTCCTTTTGTAATCTTTCTATTTCAATCTGCAATAATGAGATTGTAATAATATTATACAGAAAAAGCAAATTATAATACATATAAACTTAAGAATACCTGTAATTTATTTTTATCTCTTCTAATATCAGAATCTATTTTATAAGCATTTTCTCGTGTTTCTAAATCTTCTTTCAATTTCTTACGTTTTGAATCAAATTCTTTAGCACGTAATTTTGCTTGATGCTTTGCATTAATAACTTTATCGTAAGCTGCCTTATTTTGTAGATGAGATATCATCAATAAGAAAGACAAGAAACATATTAATGAAATATAAAAACAGTATACTTATTATTATTATTATATTATTATTATACTTACCCGAGCAGATACATCACTAAGAATTTCTAATGCTTGTGACAATTTATGAAATAATTCATTTGCTTTTGGATTATTTGGATTTTTGTCAGGATGACAATACAGAGCTTTTTTACGATATGCTTTCTTGATCTGAAATAATATGCACTTAATATAATATATACTTTCAATTTCAACAAATTTTATAAAATATTTATACCTCTTGAATAGAAGCTGTTTTCTCTATACCTAATAATTCATATAGATCTGAATTTTCCCAAGAATCCATATTTTTTTTCTATTTACAATAAAATATTTTATTTTTTCTAAAAAAAGTATCTTCAAGACCGATATTTAATATATAGAAAAAGATTAATATAAGATTTATATTTAGAAGAAAAAGGTTATGTTTATACTAAATATTGAATTGTTTTTCATCGAATAAAATATTTAATTATTTTTCTTTCAATTATTTACGAAAATTTAACACTTTTATTAATATATATGTAATACATATGTAAAAAAAAATATAACATTCCTCAATACATCTTATCATTAAATATATGCACTTTTACGACGGACACAAATTTTATATTATTTTTTCTCCTTTTCTTTTTCTCGTTTTTTCTTACTCTTATGACCTTTCTTCCTTCTTCAATTATAATGCGTATTTGTAAATAAGTATTTAAACAACTTGTATAGTGACTATTTATTTGAATATATGTTACGCGAAATGATATATAAATTTTAAAATAATTATTGTAATAAAGATTTGAATATTATTGATTAAAATTATTTTTAAAACAATGATTGAAAAAATTTTTTTTAAACGTATATATTTAAAAAATGGTAACAGATATTTATTGCATCAGGTAGGTATTTATAAAAGACAAAAAAGTAATAAATAATGCAAAAATATTTTTTTTTTTATATCACGTATTTAGGTGCAAAAATTTTATAGTAATAAAACTACAAATATTAAAATTAATACAATGAATGAAAAAGATCCTTCTTTTTTGGGAATTCAAACTATATTTACTAATGAATTAAAATTTGTCAACAAAGAATGCTATGATTCTTTACCAACATTTAGAATTTTAAACTCATTACATAAACATTTTCAATTACCAAAGGATCTTAAGGTTTGAATAATTAATATTTATTAAGATTTTATATAAATAAATTTTATATAATATCTCATTTTCTTTCTCTATTTCTTCTTAAGCTAGATGAACAAATTTTGATTAAAATGTATCATAAAATGATTACTCTGAATATAATGGATAAAATACTTTATGAATCTCAACGACAAGGACGTATATCATTTTATATGACTAATACAGGAGAAGAAGGAATTCAAATTGGTTCTGCAGCTGCTCTTACATTAGAAGATATTATATATGCGCAATATCGAGAAGCTGGTATAAAATATTAATTTTTGATCAATTAATAATATATATTTAAAATAAATATAATTTAATGTAAAAAAATTTCATAGGTGTTTTGTTATGGCGAGGATATTCTATTATAGATTTTATGAATCAATGTTATGGTAATCATAAAGATGCCTCAAAGGGAAAACAAATGCCTGTTCATTATGGATCAAAAAAATTAAACTTTGTTACTATTTCATCTCCTTTAACAACACAATTACCTCAAGGTAATATAGATTATAGATATTATTATCAAATTATATAATTTCTAAAAACATAAAAACAAAAATATCTGATTGAAATTATTATATTATCAACATATAATTCTGATAATTTTAATATCCGAGTCTGTTCACTCTTAGCTGTAGGTACAGCATATGCATTCAAACGATCTCAAAAAAATGCTTGTACAATATGTTACTTTGGTGAAGGAGCTGCTAGTGAAGGAGATGCTCATGCAGCTTTTAATTTTGCTGCAATTTTAGAGTGTCCAATAATTTTTATATGGTAATGTTAATAATATATTGCTTGAGAAATGTGAAAATATGTAAAATTTATTTTTAAAAAAATAATATTTTTTAATAATTTTAATAATTTAAAATAATCTATTTTTAGTCGCAATAATGGTTATGCAATCTCAACTCCTACTCAAGAACAATTTAAAGGAGATGGAATTGCAGCAAGAGGACCAGCATATGGAATATCAACGATTCGTGTGGATGGTAATGATGTTCTTGCTATGTATTATGCAACAAAAACTGCTCGTGAACTCTGCATTAAAAATGGAAAACCTTACTTGATCGAAGCTATGACTTATCGGTATGAAAAAGTTTTTTTGTACACATTAATTTTTTAAAATATTTTTTATCATACATTTTTTTTTTGTCTTTTAGAATTGGTCATCACAGTACTTCTGATGATAGTACTGTATATCGATCTACTGACGAAATAGATCATTGGAATTATTATACACCAATACTACGATATCGTAATTATTTGGAATCAATTGGTTTGTGGAATAAAGAGCGAGATAGAGAATTAAACAAGTGTATAAAAAATTCCATTTTACTTGCTTTTGCTGAAGCAGAAAAAGAACTTAAACCATGTTGGAAAGAATTATTTACAGATGTATATCATACAATGCCAAATCATATATGGTACATTTTTTATATTTTATGAGTGAATGCTCAAGATAAATTTTTTTCATTATAAATATATTCTTTTAATTTCAGGAAACAAGTGCATTCTATGGAAAAGCATGTTAATGAATTTCACAAATATTATCCATTGCATCTTTTCAAACAATCAAATAATCATAATAATGAATAGTTTAATAAACATAAATTTAAGAAAATAATAATAACAAATCAAATTAATTATATTTAATAATCTATATTAATATTATATATTTTTTATGTTATTTGATAATAAAAAATACATACATTTATAAATTCATATTAGTACTTATTTCTTTATATTTTTCTAATCTATGTTCTTTTCTAGCTGCATCAAGTAATATATTGTGAAGTAAATTATGCTGATTTGGATTAGATTGTTCTATAGCGGGATATATATTTCCTTAAAAAAATTATATTAATAAATTAAAATAAATTAAAATTTTTCATAAGTATAAACAAATAAAAATTTATACAAAATATACCTTTTAATTCTAAAATAGCTCTCTTAAATGCATATCCAGGATATATACATGGTGCATTATGAAGTTTTGTAAATGAAGTTGTATAATTTTCGTATCTTGGTACAAGTACTTTAAAAAGTTTATGAATAAGTTGTTTTTCAATTATCCAAAAATTTGCAAGTTCCATAGTTTCTTTGTGATGAGGGCCATGACGTAATGCTTCTGATATTAACTGCAATAAAGAAGAATTATAAAATATGATTAATTAGAAGAATTTTAAAAAGTTTATTATATTTATTTACCTGTTCGACATAACCTCTTGTTTCATCTGCTCTCGCATAATTCAACTCAATCCTCTCATATTTAATTACAGCGGTTAATGTTTTTTTAATTTTTCGTAATCTTCCCTCTGGACCATCTATATTTTTTAATTTACGTGGATCTGATCTAATATTATATCTTATTTTAGAAACTAGTTTTTCAATTTTTGCCTGATTCATTGTTTATTATATTATTAAAAGATTAAATAATGACTTTTATTAATAATTATATTAAATCAATTGTTCATTATAGGAAAAGTATTATATAATTTTTATATAATTTTATGAAACTTTTTAATATTAAAAAATATTTGTATCACTTATATCAAGCATTCCTTTTCTCTCTATGTATTACTTCGACTATATTGAAATATCTATATACAGTATATTCAATGTAATTAGTAATTAAATATAAATAAGGCATAATCAAAATAAAGCTAAACTTATAATTTGTGATATATTATAGATAAAGATAAAAGAAAAAGAAATTATAATGATTTATAAAAAAAAATTTTATTTTTAAAATTTTTTTACGATCTAATTATTTCCGTTATTATACTTATTTTTTTTTTCCGTTGTTTTCCGTCTTTATATTAAAAAAAAAAAAATACTTATATAAATTTCATTAGAATTTGAAATGAATATTTTCTTTATATTGATTAATTATATAAGATAAAAATAAAATAAAATCAATTTATCATAAGTTCATAGTTTCGTTGACTTAAATTTTTTCTAATAAAATATATACTATTAATGAATATTAATAAATAATATAAAATTGTAATACATATCAATAAAAAATTTTTATTGTATTATTATTATACATAATTAATAAATTTTTGCTCATACATATTGAATAAATTTTTTTACAAAGTGATAAAGAATATTTTGATAAAATAAAATAGTATATAATTTTAAATAATTAAAAGTTTTTAATTTTATATGATTTTAAATGTTTTACTTATATACATATTGTTACATTATGTATAATGGATAATGCGCTTAATTCAACTTAGTGACTCAGTAAATTTGAATTTACAAAAAGAGGTCACAACGTTAAGGTCAGTGATTTCAATCAACTTATTTTCAATCAATTTAAAATGAGAATAAAAGGACACATATTTTAATATTTAATATTTAATATTATCTCAAATAAAGAGATTACAATAGAAATATCTAAAAAAATAAATATTCAAATAATTAGCATCCTCTTATTTTCATTTATATTCTTAAATAAAATTATTCTTACATTAATATAAAAGATTGTATCTCATTTTAATTATTATAATCTATGATATCGATAAAATACGCCAAAAAATTATTACTTTGCTAAATCTGAAATATCAGAACAATATGATATTCGTCCTTTTTCTTATTTTCTGTATTGAACATATAATTCCATAATATCATATATTGTTGTGTTTTTCTTAAGCTTTAAAAAATCGCACTACACGCACTACATATTGTTTACATATCGGACATTCTGACATTTGTTTACCACAATTTAGACAACAAGCCATATGACCACATTCTAAAATTACACATTCAAGTGGTTCATTCCAACAAATTTTGCAAAGATTTTCATCCAAAATTTCCATTTCTATTGATAATAAAATACACAAGTTAAAATTTTTTATACTTAAAAAGTTAAATATTTAATAAAAAGAAATTATAACTTACTCGTTCTCGATTGTTTGTATTCTTCCCATAATCTGGAAGCTTTATTCAATAATTCATATCTTTCTACGCAACCTTTATAATCAACTCGATTTATACTTAACAAGTTCTTTAATTGCTTCACACTTAAACATTCCAATTCAGATAATGTATTTATATCGGATAATTTAATAGGATTCTTTATAATACAAAAAAGAAAAATAAAAAGAAAAAAATATTATTATATACAAATATCATAGAAAATTAATATTATAAAATAATGTAACTATAATTACATACCATGGAACTTTCTACAATTATATCAGAATGTTGAATATTAGAAATTTTTGAAATCTTCTCTTCTGTACTTATAGATTCTGTTCTTCTATCCAAATAAGAATTAATAGGAGAAATTCCCTCTGATATTTCATTATCATCAATTCTTGCAGCGTTGATTTCATCATTATTAAAAAGTTGTGTATTATGTTCATAGCTTCTAGTTGTTGATTGATTAGAAGGAGAATTACCACTGAAATTAAAATTAAATAAATATCAATATTTTTTAAATTTTTAATCACGATAAAAATACCTATAATTTTAAATAATTTTTTTGTAAAAAAATATAACACAGCAGAGAAACATATGGTTTCTTAGAACAGAAATCTAAGATATTAATGTTTATAATTAATTTTTATAATTAGTTACAGAATAATATAATTTTGATAATCAATACAAAATTTTTTGAATCTTTATTATATGCAACAAAATAAAAACTTACATGTTTCTACTTCTAATGTTTTCTGCATCTTCCATATTCCAATAATCACTAGAATTATTAGCAAATGCCATTAACAATTTTATTAAGTCTTCTTTTTCTGTAATTAAAATCAATAGAAAAACAGAAAATGTTAATTAAAATTTATCATGAAAAATTATAAATATTAAATATTTTTATATAAGAAAAATATTGACCAATAATATTGAAATTTAAAATTATTTCTTGTTTCAATATACATACCAATGCATCCTTTGATGGGTATTTTTTTTGCCAATAGATATCGTTGTATATCTTTAGAACGCATTTGTATGATTAGACTTCGTATTAAAGGCCTTCTCGACAACATATTGCAACTCTCACAACTTAATATCTTGTCTAATCTTTTGATCACACATCCAGAACAAAAATATCTCAAACAATCCATACATTGTTTCTGAAAATATTTCATGAAATATACAAAATATTCATTTTTAACCCATATTTGTAAATTGAAAAGCAAAATAACAGAATGATCTTACCTTCCGTGTAAAGAAGTTGAATTTTACGTTACAAGCTTCACAAGCCATGTCGCTTTAAGAAAATAACACAATAACAAAAATATCAAAATGAAAAAAATTTTAAATTTAAAGGTTAAGTTACAAGGACAAACAAAAATACTTACATATTTTAAATGCTATAAATATAAATAGAAGTATGTTAAAGAAGAATAATATGGAAAGACATTATCATTCTATGACACTTTTGGCAAGTTTTAAAACTCTTGACAATTGATAATTAACTATGTACATACCAAATTGATTTGAGGTAATAAAACACGGTGAAATTCCACAGTAAGAATTTATTAAAGATGGCGATAAAAGGACACGAAATCAATAATATTATTAAAATTTACATTTTACTATGTATGAAATGTATTAAGTTACCAAGCTTTCGGTATTGGAAATACAATTTATCTGTAATATACATCTTATCAATATTAAAATTTAATTAGAGAAATAGGATAATTTCAATTCAATTTTTATTTTTTAATTTTTATCTATTCTATTTATTTCCAATTTTTTATTTCTCTTATTTGATTTATTATTTGATTTCTTTCTTGATTTTAATTCATTTCTATTTAATGCAAAAATATTCATACTATTCAAACTTTTATTATATTATAGTTTTTTTTTAATCTTGTATGCTTATTAAAATCTTTAGTACTTTTAAAAAGTATAAACGATTGTAATCAGAAATAATAAAAAATTCTCCTTTTATTATATATATTGATATATATATATATACATAATTGATATATATATATATATATATATATATATATATATATATGTATATGATATAATATGAATATATCACATGAATATATCATGAGGTTGATTTAATCACGTTTTAGATATAAATTTCTAAAAAATACAATCGATTACATATTTAATATGTATATTCTTTAAATTAAAAATAATATTGAAAATCAAATCTATTACGATAAATTATAAGAAATAAATTATAAATAAATAAACATTCATTTCAACATATATTACTAGAATAAAAAAAGATTGGAATATAAATTCCATGGATTTATATAATTTTTAATAGTTGACAATTATATTTTTATTTTTATTATAATATAAAACGACATAAATACATAAATTACTAGATATAATATGGCATAAAAAAATAGTGCACGTGTATACACATGATGTTGGCCACATGATTAGAAACATTCAATGGAGGCCAATAAAGCGTAAAATGTAATTATTTGATTTTTTATCAAGTCGAGAAAACCTATTTTCTTTCTAATTTTCAGATTTTCATAATTACAAGCGGTAATGATGGTCAATTGATTTTAAAAGATCTTTTTTTATCAAGGAAAAATGTATACATATAAAATGTATATATTATTTATGTATTTGACGAAAAATAGAATATGCGCATAACATTATTATAAAAATTTTTCTTCGATTTGAATCGAAGAAATACAGGATCTTAAAAATAATAGTATAATATAGAAGTAATTCCATATATTTGTATATATAGAAAAAAACTTTTTTATTTTAGAGTATGTAAATCAAGTTTAAAAACTTTTGATTCTTAACTTATCTTTATATATAATTTTTTTATGATTCTTAATGATTTTAATTGCCCTTTGTTTGTTTGTATCATTTTAAGATAATTTGTATTCATTCTAAGATATATATACACATAGTAAGTAGTAGTATGGTATATTGTCTGGCTTCAAACGATTTATTTACATTAATCGTATCGTGTGTTTAATATTTTCAGAAAATTGATTTTCTTTCCGTATTCGGTCCATTGACAAAGTGGAAGGAAAATATCGATTTTTTTGCTCTATCTCATCTGTTTCGGTAGTTACAATATCTTCGTGAAAGGCATCTTTTCTGGAAAACAATATATAATATCTAATAATTTCTAAAATAAATTTGTTATTATATTGAAGTATAATATGAAATAATTCGTTGCATTTATATATTATATAAATATATTATTTATATTTTATAAGTATAAAATATTTATATATATATATATGTTTTTACATACATATATTTATTCTCTGACGAACGAAATAATGATTTTGGACAATCTTTAAAATAAGGCCAACACTCTCCATGAAACTTGCCTCTATTTTCAGCCTCAACATATTCTTTCAAAAGATTTGAAAATGGTGATTTACTAGCACTGTAATAAAAATTTACGTATTTTAAAAATTACGAAAGAACTTGGAATAATTTTGTTTTTAAAAATAATAAAATGATAAATATAAAAAGAAAACTAAATAAAAAGAATAAATACTTATGCATAGATATTCCTATTTCATACATATTTAAATACAGATGTACACATATAATAAATGAAACCGAACTTGAATCCATTTTTAATTCATGAATACATATGCTTTTTATTATGTACATATTTCATTATTATTATGATATATCGTAATATATTTTACATATATTTTATATATATATATCTTATTAAAAAAGAAGAAATATTCTCTTTTCATGACTTTTATAAATTTAATAACTTTTTAAAATATTTTTGCAAATTTTTCATTTTTGAACATTTACATAATATACAATTTTATTTAAAATATTTATTTGTTAGATATTTTTAAATATATTTTATATTATAGAATTTCAATCGCGTTAATCTTATAAATTATCGATAAAATTTATTTTTAAATTAGACAGGCAAATATTAATAAATTTTTTCGATCGATCTCAGAATATGTTATATATATATCGATCTATCATTATTTCTCGCATTTCGATATCCGAAGATTTGTTATTAATATAGTAGGATGCATTAGTAAGTACATGATGTCACAAATAAGAAACGTAAGAAAAACAAAAAAATATACCATTATATTCGATTATATATCTGATAGATATCTTGTTAAAAATACAATATTGAAAATTAATCAATAATTAATTTTTTACATTTTCAAACTAATTTTCAAGCATTTTTACATTTTTAAATTCGCATTTGAATCTGACAATTCTTTAAAGAAATTTCTCCTATAAAATTCTCCTATAAAATCTTTAATCAATTATTTATCAATGATTAATTCATCGCGCAAGAATCGATACGACTAATATACACACATACACATTTTTCATTAATTTCACATTATCGCAAGATCTCAAATGTTATTTGTTTTTCTATATTCTGATATAGAAAATTTTTATTATTAATAATTTATTAATTATATTTATATTTACTAATAATTTATATTATTGCTCGTAAGAATAAATTGATTTTTACTCGATTAAAGATCGAAAATTTACAATTCAATTTACATTAAAATTTAAAATTCGAACACTCTTTATGATAACCATTAATAAATAATTAATCGAAATGAATTTTCCATAAAATTACAAAAATGTACAAAATATACAAGAAAATTGTTGAAAATTTTATCTTTGAAATACGAATATAAATATGCAAAAATTTTTAAAAGAAAATTATTTATCAATTAATTTTCAATGTTACGTTTTTTATCATCTACGGGAAAAAGATATTAAGAAATATATAATTAAAATTAATAACATTCGTTCTATCGTTGTCACATATACTTTCTTTGTCTATGATATTACGATTATCTTTTTGCGCATGCTGTTATACTAACAACAAATTGAAGTTTCGGATATTCAAACGCATGATAGCACTACGGATATTTAAATTTTCGATTTATTTTCTAATTTATAAAATTTATTTTACGTTTATATATATATACATATACATATATATATATATATATATATATATATATATACATATATATTTTGTATATATTTTTATTTTATTTTATATGCATTTTATATTTTAAATTTTTAAATTTTTATGCGTCGAATATATACATTTATATTCTTTATGTACATTTTTTATATTCTTAAATAATTTCGAATGCGTATAAATAAATAAATATAAAACAATGATAAGTACATAAAAAAAAAATATATGAAATTTTGCAATTAAATTTAAGAATACGATCAAATTTAGTTTTTTTAGAACACGGCAAAACAAAACACGAATAAAAAATATAAAAAGTACAAAACATATAAAAATATATCGAATTCTAAAAAATTTCTTTTGTTTATGCTATCTTCTCTTAAATTGTATTTTTTTAATCATAAAATCTTAAAATTTTTGCCAATGTTACGATATCTCGAGAAATGGAGAAAAATGTCGCGTATCAATTTCTTTTTCAATTATATTCTATCGATATCGATATAAAATTAATAAACACGTTTTTAACTCTATTATTTATAGTGTATTACACGTATTAAAAAAACAAATTATTTTTATCGTTACTTACTTAGGTATTTATAACATGCGTTTATATCTTGTATTATTTATATATATGAAAAGTACTTACGTGAAAAATAGTTTGAGCATTTCTCCGATCAAACCGAAATTATTCAAAGGATGTCCTTGTACTTCGCATATAGCCCTTAATAAACAAGCTTTTCCATTTAAACCAAAATTTCCGAGCATATCCTCGGCGGTACCATACAAAAGAGCTCTTTCACCTCCATAAAGTATATTTTCTGGTAGATCTCGAATCGCCTCTCTTTTACCGATTCCACGTTTTACGAACATCGCGATAAATTCCGCGGCATTCGATCCTTGCTCTCTCGCACTAGTATCAAACGCCGATGGTAAAACGCCATAAGGATTTTCATTGTCGGTTAAACCAAGTTTGTCGAAATCGACTGCAATAAAAGAGATAAAGAGATTAATATATCAGACATGAAAGGAAATAAGATCGGTAAAAAGAGATCGAGTGATATTTACTTACTAGTAAAAGGAAGACTGATAGTCATGTTGCTAAGAAAACCATAGGGAGGATATCTGACAAATGGTAATGCCAATGTTGGAGTTATCGTCATTATCGTGCCTGGTGGTAAAGCAATTCGACCATCGTTAGTTATCCAAAGCAATCTTTTCTGTCGATGATGAGAGAACAAATGTTCGTTATTATCCCTGTTGTCACCGTTTTCGCCATCCGTACACTTGAGAAATAATATTAATCCAACCAGTGCCAATATTTTTCGTCCCATCTTTTTTTCCTCTTCTCCTGATACACGGAGAAGTTTTCTCGGATAAATTAATGATCGATCGATTATTCCTGAACCTGTTTAAGGATTAAGATATGTAATACTCGTATATTTTTCTTTTCTTTTTCGATGCAATGCATTGAATAAGTGATAAGGATAGAAGCAGATAGAAACACGTGTATATCGGTATAATAATTATTAGACAAAACGAAAGCAGGTTGTACCATATCAAGGATCCTGAATTAACGAAATTCCCGTTAGCTATGTAACATCGTGTACATGGATGAATAAATGTGCGATATCTTTGTATGCACAGAAAGTGTCGAACAACGATGTAGGGCATCGTTACGAACAATAGTCCCAATCGCGTTGGTTTTACATTACCAAAATTGTAATCGGGCGGAGACATTTATAAATGTATCGCGTAAGTAAACACTTATATATATATATACACGTATATATACAGCATAGTGTGAAAATATCACGAAGCGTTTAATTCTATTATCTTATGCGTGCGCAACGTGAAGTATTTTTCATAATAATAACCAACGAAAAAACTTAAGGAGAACGATAAGATGGATCAACTAACCGATATATAGTACAATGCAAATTCTATACATCGTATCGTATTTTCGTACACATATATACATACGAATATACAGTTCTACTGGTATTCTTCGCGCGATCGACGTCGATACGTGCATCGAAATTAAAATCAAATGAAACTCGTTCATTCGACGAATCGAATCTTGACCATCGCTCGATCAAGTAATCACGTCGCATACGTTTTTGGTACGTACCGTTAACTTTTATCGAAATTTGGGTCGTAGTATATAAGAAAAATACAATTTTTTCTTATTTCTATATTTTTGTTTCTTACTTCTCTTTTTTCTACTTCTTACTCTCATTGTTCCTAAAAATAAACGTGTTTACTTTTCCCGATCTTTCACCTCCGATCGTTCAGTATTATTACAGTATTATTACATCGAAAAAAGAAATGCTTTTTATGCATATTATACTAGTTGCACCCTTTTTATAAGTGTTTTTCTCAAAAATTATATTCGAAAAATAATATATGTAAACAGATAATATTTTTAAATAAAATATTCGAATTAAATAGACGAAAGATTAGATATCAAGAAATTAAATACTAAGTAAATAATATAGATAGATCTGCGTGTTAAATAAGTAACATTTACAATAAGATAAAAACAAATAATAATTTTTAATTAATTAACAAAGAGAGGAGAAAAATTTTAAAAAAATGGAAAAAGATTCTTTCAGAATTGGAAACACAATGCGATCGATACGCGCTTAAGAGAAATAAGACAAACTATAACGATATAATCTTTTATACCTTTTTTTTAAATGATATTATTTCGTTCTTCGAACAGGAAAATAAATGGTTTAAATTAATTGGAAATTTGATGAGAAAGATATTTTTTGAAAGGAAAAAAATCGAAAGGAAATCGTAATTAATTAATTAGAAATTAGAAATTAGAAACAAAGAGTATATGCAAATAAAAATAGAAATATTAAAGATTAGAAAATATGTAAATACCTTCGATTTATGACAGATACGTTGTTTGTTTCATCGAGATGATATAATCATCGGAGAACGGTCGTTGTACTATAACTGGGCTAATTTTGATAGACACTGATCAACAGGGACACTTATAATTACAGTATAATTATACCTATCATCATGATTTTCTCATTGTTTGCTATAAACGAAAATCCATAGGATCGATTCCTTTATCCCTTTATATCGATTTTTTTTCTTCCTTATCTTCCGATTTAATCGATCGATATTACCGTCTCTTACATATCTTAAATATCGTTTATTCCGTATTTACGTAAATATTTAAATCAATAATGCACAACATATATATGTATGTATTTAATTTCTATATCGTATACCATATATATATATTAAGTTTTTAAGCTATATTAAGTTTGTATTTTGATAGATGCATATGTTCAACACTATCGTTATTATTTATCAAAATGATCAAGTTAGATAATTCAATACCGATTATGAGATATCGCACAATAACTCGCGTTTGTATACTGCAGGAGGCACTGATTCTTACCTCGGTTTCGAACTGACCGGTAATCCACTCGATGCCTCTCATTTACGAACCGTCTTATCCTCCGTTACGTTACTTACTTTCCACTTACGTACGTACATATGTACATTCATTGCTTAAACTCGACATTGACTTTCGTTTCCATCGCTTTATTATGCGGTATCGAAATTGAATCCTTTCGAATTTTCTCCAACTATTTTTATCTCTCCAAATAACTATTGATGTCTTATCAATTTCTCTTTCCCTATCTTTTTTCTTCCTTTTCTTATCATGATCGATTTTAAGCAATCTTGAAGAGACATTGAAAATAAAATTATTAATATTAAATATATTATGAATAACAAATAAATGTATAAATATATATATATATATAATAAATAAAATATAGTTTTTGAAAATAACTTAATTTATAGTAATAATAAATTCACAACGTACTTTATTACAAATTTTTGAATCAAACAATACAATATAATCTATGTGAGCGTACGGGCAGGCACGTATATATGTATTTTTCATTCACAACACGTATTCGATTGAGATTACAACAATTGAAAGAATTTTAACTTAAACGATATTATGTGATCAACATTTTTCCACATTTTTCTTTTTTCTTTCTTTCTTTTTTTTTTATTTTTTTTTATTTATTTATTTTTTTTTTTTTATAGGATCAAACTCTTAAAAAATTGTTTACCTTGATACGCGTGCATAATGCGTATTACAGTTTATACGTAATAATATGAAAAGAAAATAATAAAGCAAGAAAAAGAAAAAAACGGAACAGTACGCGCTGTCGCTGTGATTTAGTACTAAAACGATAATATTATTTTGGAATAGAAACGCTTCCTTATAATTAATATCTACTAATCGTGTCTAAAAGACATTGTAAAAGAAGCCTTTTTATGGCACTCGATATATACGTTGTATACAATTCAACTTAAAAGTACTTACTTTCGATACAGCATTGTGTCGCTTAATATTTTGAATCTATAAAAAAAATCGTTATTAATTGATAAGAAAGATTAAATCGATAAAAATTATATTCATATGCACATAAAAGATGAATGTCGTCATAACGGGAGAAGAATTTAATGAAACGCTTTCGTTTTTTTCTGCAATTATTCTGCGTAACGCATCCGAAAAAAAAAAAAATTCGAAAGAATCGATAACATCGTGGGAATCTCCTTTTTCTCTTTTCAATCAATTAATAGATTTTTCCCACAAAGTTGTCAAGAATACTTAGATTTTCTCTTTTTCTTTTTTTCTCTTTAAGGAAATTATGATTATAGAACTTATTAAAATATGACAAAATTTACGATTAAACGTTTTAAACTTATATTTGAAAACGAGGGAGTAATAGGAAGAGAGACAAGGAAAGTATCGCCTATCTGGTAAGAAAAATAGAATGTTATACCGAACCAAGTTATAATTTTAAAAAATTAAGTAAATTAGTGTTTTGGTTTACAAACAATTTTTTTCATAAAATTATAAAGATTTATGTTTCTTTTTTTCTTTTCCAAGAAATAAATTACGTACAAGGAAACATACGTAATATCAGAATTCGAGACTTTTTATTATATTGATTATTCTTTCTAAGATAAAATATTTTTTTCCTGTATATTTTTATACATTACAAAAATAAAAAAAAAAATTTCTTGTTCCATATAAAGATTTACTGTACGTGAATATCCGGGTATAAGTAATCATATTTATACAGAATGTCAAAAATATGTATTTAAGAAGTTAAAAATTATGAAATAATTAAAATCTATATATAAGTAAAAATATATTTTTTTATGTAACCAATATTCTAGATAATATAATATTTCTAAATTTTTTTATTTCTTCTTTTTTTTAACATCCTGTAAATGTTAAATACGCATCATCTGTATTCTTTTTTTTTTTTTTTTCTTCTTCGTAGAATAATCTTGGTTGGTTAATACACAAGAATATATCAAAATATTTCATTCGACCGAATGTTTATTCGGAATTCAATATGTGTGCGTGTATGTTGTGTGTGTCTGTGTGTGTGTGTGTGTGTGTGTACGTGTATGTGTATGTGTATATGCAATAGAACATAAAGTATATAGATAAAACAATTACAAACATTCTCCCTTCCTCTCCTCGTTTTCTTCAATTCTCCTCCCTTTCTTCGCTCACTCATCATCATTTCTCATTTTTTTCTTGCTCACAGAAAATGCTAATTTGAAAGAATTTGTCAATGCTTGCTTGTAGGAACACAAGATACTTAACGAATGATTTTCTTTTCTTTTTTCATTTCTCTTATAACAATTTCTTCTTCGATATTTATGTAAATTGCTAATCTTTAATTATAATTGATATAATTGATAACTTTTGTCTTTTTTTTATTTCTTTTTCTTTCTCCTTTTCTCGACTTTTTCTTTTTTTTTTCTTTTTTTTTCTTTTTTTTTTTCCTTTTTTTTTTTTATTTATTTATTTATTTGTAAGAGAAAAGAATTTACCAAAACAAAAAACGCGAACTCTATGTTTTTATTTCATTTACCTTATCTAAAGTTTTTCAAAATCGTAAATACATTAGAAATAAATTCGACGAATTCGGCGAACATTTCGACACTATTTTTGGTTACATCTCATTATCGATATATATTTAGAACATTCGAACAAGGCACACTTATTGCTTTTATAATTTTATCCGTCTTGATAACGATTCATGCTTTTCATATATATGTATATATTCATATATATATATATATATATATATATATATATACTCGTTATTTCTTTTGTCCCCCTTGCCTTTTCGGTAAGTGTAAACTTTGAGATAATTAGGAACTATAAAGGTACATTTCGTTATTAGAATAATTTTGGTTCGCACGCATTATTTCAACTCCGCCTATTTTTCATCTTTAATTTTTATTAGCAGGCAAAAGAGAGAACGCGAAAGAGCTTAATTGCAATACTATTACACTACTTGCGGAACAAACGATGTTTGAGTATACTAGAACGGATAGAATCGGATAACCGCAACAGTTTGATTGCGACACGCTATGCATTTATCCTTGTCGTTTTCGCCGTTTTCGTCTTCGTCATCATTCTCGTTATTCAATATAATATCGACCAAACTCGTCGATCAAAAATTATCATTTTCGCAAATTTATTTTTTGTCGAAGAGAGATCTATTCTTAAACTAATGTAACATATTTCCTTAACAACTTTTACATGACGGCCTTGCGACAATAGATCATCGCAATTTAAAAATAAACTTCAATCATATTTTGTACATTAAAGAAGTTCGTTTTACTTGAACACGGTTTGGATCTAGCGCGCGTATCGATGCATACATATGTAACGTACAGATTCATTTTATACCGCATACATCGATCCATGTTCGCGTCTACATTCACACTTTCATGATACGCTACAATTAATGCTCGTTTTCTTGTCGCACCATATATTTTATAGGCACGCTTTTCCAATATTTTTCCTTCCTCACTTCCTCTTTTTTCTTTTTTCTTCTTATTCATGTCATATTTTTTTTTTCTTTTATTCTCTTCTTATTCGTCTTCACTTTTATCATTATCATTATCAATTATTATTATCATCATCATCATGATCATCATATCATAATCATCATCACCATCACCATCACCATTACTACTATCATTATCATCATCATCATCATCATAGTTATCATCATCATTATCATCATCTTCATCACCATCATCATCATATTTTTTTTTTTTTTGTTTTCTTCTTCTTCTTCTTTAATGAATTTTACTAAACGCTCGAGCACACAACAAACACATTAACTAGCTACGTATTCGGCAAAAAGGTCTCGTCTATGTGAATTTATTTAAAGAACTTAATTATTCGATATAACTAACGGTTAAGTCTTTGGTGTTTGTACCAATGATTTTTCTATTCTATATTCGATTTATGACGCTAATTTCCAAATAACGAACATTTAAAAATTCGTGTTTTTGTGTTGAATCATATGTTGAATCACGTGGCTGTAATATAAATCTATGTATACATACTTAATATCTAACTCGTTTATTTCTTAGTAGGCACATGCGCTTATCGTCAATCCTTGTATTTAATGCAATTAATAAGCGCTTTTCACGCGTTTCGTGTATCGTTTTTTTTTTTTTTTTATTTTTAATTGAACATATTTTCTTTTTTATACTTGTAAAAGACGAAACATAAATCGCTACTATTCATTTTATATTAAATCATTCAATCATTCTAAGGATAAAAGGGAGACGCATCAGTTTTACGTAAAACATTACTATGTGTATAAATTTCTTTTCCAAAACAGTCTTATCTGTTTAACGTAAATGCGAATATAAATGTTATAAAAATCATAATTGCTGTAAAATAGTTGGTATAGTTTTAACAATAATAATTAGAAAATGATAGAAAAACATTACTAAAAAGAAGGAAAAAGAATACACACAAAATATAATTGTGAATTTAAGTACTGTATAACTTTTAAATATAAATGGCAAATAATATAATCAACGTTTATTAATATCGCATAATTAATTTGACTGCAAAAGAAAAGAAGAGTGACAATGGAAAATAAGAAAATGCTTTTCATTTTCTTTCAGTCAGTTTTTTCTGTTGCAAGCCAAATTATTATAGCGCGAACATATATATATATATAGGAAGCATAAATTAAAGCATGATGATAAATAAACTTTGTAAACAATTATATCCAATAAATCTACTTCTTTCTTTATCGGATAAAATAAAAACATTTGAATGTTTATATTCTCAAGTGTTACATTCATAACATTCCTATCATTTGTTTTTTTTTTTTTTTATTTTTTCCTTTCCCTTATAGTTTCTTTTCGCTTCTCTCTTTTTCCCTACGAATGATGGAAAATAATCATTATAAACAATTTATGATAAATTACGATACACGAAACAAAGATTCGAACGAAAATATAAATTGACATTCGATTTCTTTTCCTCTCATCGCACAATCTTTCACTTTCAACACAATATTTTGGCACTTGTTTGACCGTCAATCTCACGTTTCTTTCTGCCAATCGCGCATTGGAATACGCGTATCGACAAAAAAATATAAACATCAAAACAAAAACGTATCTTATTTAAGTGTCATTTTCACGCGATATAATATATATTCGATATTGATTTACAGTGTATGTATGTTGGCATTTTACTTTTTCAACAAGAAGGCAGGATTGTTCTTATTAAACTTCTTACTGACCTCCATTCAAAAGAATTCTTGTTATTACTTTAAAGAACACAACGAATACTGAAAAACAGTAATAGTACTGTTCGTATGTATGTACTTTTGCAAGTTTTCGTTGTATGTGATTTCAAAATAATGCATTCATAAATCACATGCCGCATGAAGATAATCACAATATTCGAAGAGCACTATTATATGCACAATCGTTTACTGTCTTGTTATTATATAATTCAAGTTTGTTATTGTTTAAATTTCAAAAGTCTTTGATATTCTCCTTTTCTTATATACATAAGTGTATGCAAAATTAATGAAAGAATTAAAATATTCGAAAGGAAAATATATCGTGAATAACGTTAACTTTTTTTTCTTTGTTCAATTCACGTATATCGAAATTGCGAAAAATTATTTATATATAGAATATTATTGAATGAAGTTAAAGAGAGGAAAAGAATTAAAATTAAAATTAAAAAAAAAAAAAAAAAAAAAAAAGAAAAAAAAGAAAAAAAAAAGAAAGAAAAAAAGAAATATAAAATAAAATAAAATTATCAATTTCGTGACGATGATACCAAAGCGAAGATTTGTTTTGTATTTCCCACAGAATAATGGAAAATCGAAAGTTAAAAAAAACATCATTGTAAGCTGCGAGAAGCACTGCTCTCGTTAAACCGGTACGGCCCCCTCACGTTCTTTTTCCTGTTGTCGCACGGCAACAGCTGCCTCAACCAGCAAGTAAAGACACTTGAACTTGTCTTTATCCTCTTCGGGTGGTGTTGGAGGTGGCGTTTCATCTGTATGTGGGCTATGAGTCTTACGTGTACTATATACTTCTGTTTCATGTTGTACATCAGAGGTTTGAATAAGGTGCTGTCTAGGCGCGCTCCAATATGCAGCTTCATTTCCCATGGAAGATTCATCATCATCTCTAAAAAAAAAATAAAAGATGAAAAAAAAAAAAAAAAAAGAAATTAATTAAATTTGTAATGGCTATAATAAGATATAGATTCATTAAAAATTTGTGGAATAATGATAATACATTTATGTTAGTGTCTGATAATGTACTTACCCACGCCGCGCCGGATGCGTAATCGTTTCGTCATAAGGACCAAGTTGACTAACATTTTGTTCAATTTTAGCTTCCGAATAAGGATAGACTATTACACTTGGCCACTGTGTTGACGGACGTTCCTCTTCACTATGAGAACTGCTTTCATAATCGTTTGGACTATCCTCTTCGCTTCTATATATACACACAAATACATATATAAAAATACATATATCAAATATATATATATATATATAGAATGAAATATGAAATACTTTTTCAGAAGTATGTTTGTTGTATGTTTGTTGTTCAATATAAACAAATATAACGATATAATGTATTCTTAAAATATAAATTGTAACGAACCTATACATTAATCCAGCATGATCTTCATAATCATGATCTCTACTACGTTTTGGAGCGCTCATGCCAGCTAACGAATCCCAATTTTGATTAGATCTTGAATTAAGACTGGATGATTGTTGATGATTTCCTGCAGGCATCTTTTTACCACGACGAGATATTGTATATTGCAAAGGATCATGACCTTCTCTTCGAATCATTTCTGGTAAAATTCGTCGTCTGGCATTTATAAACCAATTGCAAACCTACAATAAAGATTTAATACGATGTATAACGATAATCTTTATTATAGATATCTTAGAAAAGAGAATAAAATATAAAGAGATACGAAATACAACAGAAATATCAGCAGAATTTGTATCAACCTGGAGTACAGTTAAATTTGCTTCTTGACTCAATGTCAGCTTTTCGCTGTCGCTTGGATACGCGTTGTATCTGTGCTCGTAAAGCCATCGTTTTAGAATCTTCACCGAATGCTTTGGTAAATTTCCCCGACGTTTTCGCACCGAATGAGTACCAGAATGATGAACTATTCCAGAGTGGACCTTAGAGCGCAATGCGTTCGAGTCATGTTCCGTATCAGAGCCGCTTTGATCATCATCAGTACTACTCGACGAAGGAAAACGTTCTCTTGCTGAAACAATAAATGTTGAATTAAATTTACATAATTTCTCGTTATATAATATTTATTATTTTTGTTATTGTCTTTCCATTTATCTTTTCATTATTTCTTTACCTATTAGCAATATATAATAACAATAAGCCACGAATAATAATATGATTGATATATCGATTTAAAACTTTTTTTCGCATTTTATTATTCTATATTATATTTTACGCTTATACTTCGAATAACTATATATATTAAATATCATGTTCTACGTATTTTTATTCATTATTATGTTACATATTATTAATACGTTTTATTAATAATTCTATCCTAATTTATATAATCATTTATTATTTAGTATTATTTAGAATTTGAATAGATATTCGTAATTTATTTTTGTTATTCATTAAACATAATATTATCCTTATGTGTAATACAACTAAAGAATATACCAATGACTTATAATTAATTAAACCAATAAGGAAAAAAGTTTATATTTCAATTTAAATATTATATCTTTGTTTTAAAATATTATATTTTTGTTAAAAAATGTTTATTCTCCATTTCATACACTGTGATAAAAAAATATAATAATAATTTTGCCTTACAGCACTTTTTAAAGAATTTAAAATAATAACGAAGAATCACTTATGGAATATACATTGAATAATATATTATTTTTAATAATGAAAATTGCATCATGTGAAAAATAGATTTACCATTAAAAATTTATTCAAGGTAAAAAAAAAATCACATTAAATTATTTTATTAATGAAACTTATTGATATATTGATTCACATTTGAAATACAAAAAACTAGACTAATCATTTTTTAAAAACATACATGAAATCATTGCAAATGAATGAGATACGATGTAATATTTAATTTTGTCTCACGAATTTCGTTTTCCATTAAATTGCTTTTCGTTTTGAATATCTACATAATATAAAAATATTCTACTTCCTTCACTGTTATCTTTTAAGTAAATATATATATATATATAAGTAGTAATTTTACGTAAATCTATACGCCCGGGAACTAAGTATGCGATCCTGGTTAGTTTGCACCATTGACTAATCTTAGCATTTGAATCTGTAGTTACGTAAGGTCCAGTAACCCGACGGCATAAAATTAGGAGCTCCTCACAGCTAAACGAAAACTATGACGATGTCGAGTGTCACAATGGGGATGGAAGTGATAGTGGCAACGACGACGGCGACGACGATGCAACGACGACGACGATGCAACGACGACGACGATGCAACGACGACGACGATGCAACGACGACGTAACGATAACAACATAATGATAAAAAGATGGTAATCAAAGCACACTAACAAAATTATATCTAATATTTTTTATCGGTTCGAATAGAATGAATTACTAAAAAAAAATTGCTACCCAATGACTTTAGTTTGATCGGTATACAAAATAGTATGTTTCTTCATTACATTGAGCTAAATATAACGAGTTACTCGCGAGTTTACAGTTGCATTTTGCGTTCTAATGAAATACAACGTTATTTTACAATTTATTATCATCTCCTTTTTAAATATATATATTTCGAGATTAAAATTTTATAAAATATCTATTTATTTATAATAATAATAATAATAATATATATATATATATATATATATATATATATCTGTAATATATTTGATAATTCATTTAGAAGTTTTCAAAAGATTGTCATATTGTTGCGTACTGTTAATTATTATTCTATTATACATGTTGCTTCTATTATATTCGAATATATGATATATGGTTTCCTATTATCTGATTTTATTTTTTTCTCTATCCTAATTTGTCAAATACGTATATAAACAAAATTAGAAATTTTACGAATTTTTACTTCTTGAATTTGTCTTTTTGCATTTTTTGGAATTCTATATTATAAGAATTTGACTTCGCATAATTTTAAATTTACGCGATGCCCGATATATTTTGCATCGAATATATTGCACCGAATATATTGAATAAAAATATTAAAAAAGATTTAAATATGTTTTAATGCCTCTATTTTATTAAATACAATATTCTCCTTTGTGATTTATTATTTCATATCATATTCTAATTGCGAGCATTATTAATTCTAAAATAAAATATAAAAAAGAAAGCTTGAAAACAATAAATAGAAAATTATTATCCGATTAAAATTCAAAATTCAATACTAATGTCTTTTCATATAGTTGTTATACTATAAGATTATTTAACACAAATGGATAAAAATTTAAATTTTTTATTTTTAGACAAAATTAAATTAGTTTTCGAAATTAACAAATTAAATTTCAAATAATAATTTCTTTATCTTAATAATTATCTAATATTAACATCACATATTCCATTAATCTCATTTCTTTACAATTATATGTATACATATTTTCCTCTTGTAAATGATAAAGAATTATTTTTCCAATTCTGAATGTGTTAAATTTATCTCTATAACAATTCAAATTTATAGCTAAATTGAGTTTATACAAACGTTTAATAAAAATCCTATTGATATATACATATATACATACACGTGTTCGCAGTCTATCAATAGAGATCGTCCTATCTCACATGTCAAATTTTAATAGACATTTTAGAAAAAGTCAAATTTGTGAAATATCATAATTGTTTATGTAATTACGCAACACGAGATCGTTTCGAAATAATTATATTTAATATTTCTTTCTTTCTTAAATAATTGTTTTCAATTATCTAATGTTTAATTTGTTCAAATTGGTTCAACAATTTATGTTTTCTTTATTAAAAAAAAACTATAAAATAGATAAACTTTTATAAAACACTCATGAAACAAAAATTTCAAAATTAACAATTAAAAATGATCTATTTGATTTATTATCTATTATCTAATTGAAGATAAATTTGCATGTTACTTTTCCCAAGCATAATATAATGATCGAATGAACGTAAGCATGAGAATATATGAATAAATAAAAACAAAATGACAAACAAACAAAGGGAAAAAGAAGAGAGGGAGGGAAACAGGAAGGGGAAGAGAAGTAGAGAAAAAAGAAGAGAAGGAAAAAGGAGGAACGGCAGGACGAGCGCCATTACGCAACAGGAATCATTTAATGTGCTAATTCTACGCATGGCGATAAATAATTAATCATTAATAATTTAGAAATCAATTATTTACTTTCAGCTTTGATAAAACATTAACATTGGTTAGATATTTCGATCGAGACGTTACGTTACGAGATCAGAATTAAAATAAAAATAAGGAAATATAATAGAATGTTATTTTCATTGTTAAATGAAGATTTAATATATACACTTTGAATCAATGATTTATTTTTAATCTTACCTGTTACAAACATATTCGTGTGCTGAATTGAGGATGAATTATCGTTATGTGATATAGTTGATGATGATAAAGAAGAAATTGTGCGACGATAATCTGTATTCCGCGAATTGCGAGATCCGTTCTGTAACTGTTGATCAGTTTGAGAACTAAGTTGATGATGTTTATATCGATGATGATGACGGTGATGGTAATGGTGATGATGATGATGATAATGATGATCATTGCGATAATGACGACGATACCGATGATAATCTTGTTGCTTTTGTGAATGTCCAGGATGTTGATGTTGATCATCCTGATAATATTTATTACGATATTGATGAAGGTATTGTTGTGTACCTGTCATTTTTTCGGTACTCTCTTTTTGTTCCAAGTGCATAGCAGTTGGTGGCAACATGATATTCTTGCAATTATAGCAATTTAAAAATTTCAACAGATGAATTGCAGAAAATATCTCGATCGTAATTTTAATTGGAAATGTAATAATTAGAAATTTCAATGAAGAAATTTATAAAATTTTCTTCAATTGTTGTATATCTTATTCTTTTGTATCGTTCTTATAATTATACTTGCGTTATAATTATTAATTAAAACAATTAATATATATTTAGTTTTGTTATTAAACTTTTTTTATTTTTCTTGATGAATTATTTCTTGATGTTTTTGTCAAAATTTAAATAATGCAAAAAAATTCTTGCTCCATACTGGATGTATTATAGAAATCAATCATGTTATCGATAAGATATTCAATCACCTTAAACGTTCTTTTTTTAAATTTTCCCCTTGTTGATCGATATTATTGCATTGTTGATTATCATTATGAAAATGACATCGATGACATATTTTAACATTTTTAACACAATATAGCTGCATCTAATTTATTAAAAACTATCACTTTCAAACGTTTCTCCGTTTTTCTTCTTATCTCTTCTTTAACGGTCTTAAAAACTTGTTTATTTTTCTTAATTCGATCACATAAAATAAATAATATAATTTCTTGATTATTATCGTTATTTATTTTGTTTAAATTTGTTCGATTGTTCGTTGTAAAAATTAAAATTATTTTCGTTCATAATTTTCATTAAAAATTTTATTGCAAGCAACAGAAAAAAAAGAAAGAGAAACGAAATTGTAAATTTTTTGTTTTGAATTGAAAACACACTTCTAATGTATTTCACTTCTAATATAACGATTGAAAAGTAAATTGGAAACAAAAATATTCTTTGAATTCATCGTATTCAACGTTAGAAACTGACTAAACGCAACTATACAACGTTCACGACGCGACTGGGCCAATCATGTCGGAAGCCGGTATGACAGAGGCATCTGACAACCGACAAATCAAACACGAAAATGAGTGCATGTGCGCGCAGCAAGAAGAAAGAGATTTGCGCGCGCGTATTCACTTCCCGCTTCTTGACCTGTCAGCCATTAGACTCTCTCGGTGTAGCCTCCCCCCAATTGCGTCTTTCCCGCCATATAAACTTCATAAGTATACATCAGAAGCCGTTGGCCGGTGTTCCAGTAACGACAGCGTACGTTAAATCCCTTCCAAACAGGTATATGCTTTATTGGCGGGAAACATATTCCACTATAAAACACGATTATCCCTTACACATTAAAATGTATAAATGTTCTTATATATTTTATTTTCATATTTTATATTATTTAATATAGTAAAAATATATATTGTTTATATTTTGTTATAATGTTTCTTTATACTTTTTCAATGTCAATATTTTGTCTTTATCATTAATATAAATATCATATCATATACGCAAGATATTAATTTAGATTCAATTGTTGTCGTTGCGGTAACGACAAAACTAAAAAAAATAACAATTATAAGCAAAATAACTTTCGAATCGCATCGAAATATATTTATAACAATTATTACAAAAAATTAATTTTAAAAATATAATAATTAGACTAAAAAATAAAATATTGCTATCACGTTGACATTAATGAAACTTTTTTGAGTAATTAATAATTTAATAATTGGTATTTAATAATAATAAAATCATTCGTTATAACATTTTGTAAAACTTCAATCCTATAATTAAGATATAATTTATAAATCCTAGCAAAATAATAAATGTTCAATATAAATATAAATGATATAAATATAATTAAAAAGCGTTATCATAAAAAGTTAATAAAAATTTTTAAAGCAACAATATTTAATTTTTTGAGAAACGAATTTTTATTAATGGAAGAAGAAAATATTTTTATTAAAATATATTTATTTATTATTATTATATATTTATTAAAACAAATTAAAAATAATTATTTTTAATTTCTCGCAGAAAAATATTAATTTTTTAATTTTTCGTAATAAGAGATAAATTATAATTTATTCATTACATTATGTGATATATGTAATAATTATTATTAAGAGTTTATTATTAAATATGATATGTATGTAATGATTATTATTAAAGAGAAAAGAAAAAAAAAGAAAAGAAATGAAGACAAAGAGAAAGAAGAAAAGAAAAAAATTTCATATTAATCGTGAATTACGAAAAAGTATGGTATTCGTTCAACATATCACTAAAACGGTAGAGATATGAAACGAGATAATATGAGATAAGGTTACGGGAGATAGAGTATAATCTAAGTATAGAAAAAGCATGAATCGTTTGCACGTGCAGCTATGTAGTTGAAATACAAAATGCGCCACTTCAATATATCTCAAGATACAATTTAGTTTTTTCAAGATTATTAATTTATACCTCTATTTATTATTTTTCGATAATAAAAACTATTAAATAAAATATCTCGTATCTATTAAAATCGTTTCCTGTTTTAGAAAATAAATTAATAATGATGTTAATGATAATAATAATAATAATATAAAATCTTTATATAAAATATTGAATAGATAATTTTTTTTTTAATTTACTTTATATATATATATATATATTTAACATTATAGCATTACAAAAAGTATGTTTTTAGAAAAATATAAACGATTAATATATTATGTATTTTTCTTCTTGTATTAATCAAAATCTATAAATTTTTGGAAAAAATTTTTTCCTCCATTTGCTTTTTTATGCTTATTTTATGTTATTAATAATGATAGAAAAGAAACTAATTTCATTTTGATAAAAAAACTATTCTTGATTTTTGTAGTCATTATTCATCCCTGGATGTCTAAGATAACAAAAAATATATTTTTATCTTATCGACTCAACCCTTATACGACCATTTCAATCGATGATATTTCTAACATGATAAAGTTATCATATTCATTGCTTTTTCTCTTTATCAGTCAATCAGTAAGAAATTGATCCTTTCTAGTCATTATCAATATTTTTGTTTTTAAATTACATTGATTAATATTATAAAAAATTTACATAATTAAAGTTGATTTTTTCATTTTTTTTCTCTTAAATTTTTTCAATAATCCATATATATATATATATATATATATATATATATATATATATGAAAATTTTATACACACGCGCGCGCGCGCACGCACACACGTACATACGTATGTAATATACGAGTACATTTTTTTTCTATCCAAACTAGATTGCGCAATACTTTTTTTTATCCATAATCATCATAGAAACCGTTTAGTATCTCATCCCTAATTACTTTGCGAGTCTTTGTTAGTTTCTTTAAACGAATGTTGGATCGTGTGTTTCACTATCGAATAAATTTGTACTTCTTGTTAACTATCTACCGTTAATATAGATCAACTAAACTGAAAAACAAAACTGATTTTTTCTTAATTGTATGAATTTATAATATATACATATAAATAATTTTATAACTATAAATATAATTTATAGTTATATATTCATAAATTTTTAGAAATTGTTTTAAAATATTATTGATATAAACCTGAAATGATATTTGAATTAATATAAATATAAAAACCTTTTTATATGATATTGACACGATTGATGGATACATATTATAACAAAATTTTTCATGTAAAATATATATAATTCAAACATATATAGTTCAAGTTCAAAAGAAAAGAAAAAAATTGTTTCTCTTAATCTTTATATTTAAGAAAAATAAAAATCAGATTTTAAAAAATATAATTGATTATTATCATATATATTTATATCTACATTCACACGCGTGAATGTATCTACATTCGCGCACACACGAATACACACATATATGTCGGAAAGTTGAAAAAATTTAAAAATTAATCATTTGCTAAACGAACAACGATCAAATAACAATTTTTCAATATTTTTTGACTAATTTTCATAAGAAATAGAAAATTTCAAATCGATCTATCATTTGAACAAATATATGTTTATCGAATAAATCTTATGCAGAAATGATACTTTGAGAGTGATATATGACTGATTGTGAAGATCAAATCTTTGACATGCAAAGGAACATCGATTCAAGAAGAGAGACGAACATTCTTCATAGGTCAGCAAGCATAGAACGATTTTAGATACGGCCTTTGGGCTGCTCGTGCTTTGCGTTGTAGCTTGTCTTCGTAACTATTCCGTCCTAATAATTATTTAATGTACTATTCTTAATCAATGTTTCTTTTTTGATAGATTTCAAATTAGAAATGAGGTAAGAAATTATATTTTAATTATATAAAAATATCATGATTTGATAATAATTTACAAATTTATACAAAAAACACAAGAAAAATTACATTTCAATTATAATTTTTACTACTATTTATTTGAACAATAACGAATTTCTCTATGCATTTTTTTGATTTTATCGACAATAATGAAGATTACCAAAATTGATGAAATTTTACTTCAAAATATCTTACTTCACCTATGATAGCCTCTATGCTCTTTGTGGCTTTTGACATGATAACCTCTTTCTTTCTCAAACTCAATACACATAATTCAAAGATAGACTAAAGAAGGACTGAAAATTGTGATACTGATAACAGAAAATAAAATAATATTATGAATGAAATTCTCTATTAAATAAAAATAAATAAATAAATTAATTAATATATATATATATTAATATTATGTTAATTTACCTTAATGAAAATATAAAATTATATGCAATATAATTCATTCACGATTAATAATATCTTATATTATTAAAATTTTAAAAAAACATGTATATATTTTCATTTTACGTAACATCTAAGTAAAATGCGATATTTTGGTAGATCAGTTTGTTGATTGGCTGGTAAACAGGTATCAAAAACTCTCGGAAGTCATCGAGAGCAACCAAGACACAACGATTAGCGAGAATGACTACATCACTTATCGATTACATAACAAGACAAAGATATTATCACGAAATAACGTTATTAATTAAATTTATAAAATATATTTTCTATTTTATTCTTAATGTATTGATTTCACAATTTCCTAGATCTTTTTTACACTTATTTTACATTTCATTGATAATTTAATTACAAAACATATTATGAAAGTGATGAAATAAATAAAATACTATAATAATTAATACAATCTATCATAATCTAGCATAATATATAAATGCAATTTATATAATACGACTCAATAATTATTATATATCAATCAGAGATCAATAATATGAGAACTTTATAAGTAGATAATTAAATTCATAGATAAAAAAAATGTAACAAATTTATGTCAAATTTATTTAACTGAACTATTAAATTTAATCTATTTAAATTAAAATATTTAAATATATTAAGTGATATTTTAAAATTAAATAAGAAAAATAAAGCGCAATAATTGTTTCTTTAAGATTTAGTATTACTTATGTTACCCATACCATATTACTAGTAGTACTATTATTACTATTATTAGACCTGTTACACAATACTCTCGCGTCTTCTCAAACGAGTTTCGCTGGCCAATGACCAAAGCTAGATAACGTTGTGTATCGCGACCCATTTACCGACTTGCTAATCTCGAACTCTAATACGAACTTGATTTTCCTAAACTTTTATCACTTGAAAATTTTTGTTATTTTCTATTACATACCTGAACATTAAAAATGTTACTAATAATTTATATAGTGTGATTATTCATCGGTAAACTTTTCAAATATCCAATATCATATTTATCATCATTCATTACATAACAATAATATAATTACAAAAATATTCTTTTCTATCCATCTTTTTATATATGTATAGATTATAGATAATAGATTTTGATTAATAAATTTTGCATTATTGTAATATTACAAAAGAGCTATATTTTTAATTTCAGTTCAATTTAACTGATTCAAATACAAAATTTATGCATATATTTCAATTTTAATATTTCTCCTACATATTTTATCATGTTACGTAATTGTCACAATGTGAAAATATTCAATTTTAATCCGAATTATTTACAAGTGCTTCTTTTTTTGTAAACTATATAATACGTAATTTAAATTCTTGAATGTATTTTACATATACTTATATATATTTTATAAATTTTAAATTATAATAATATATAAATTGTTTGTTGTAATTTTTAAATTCTATTTTTATATATATTTTATTTATATATCAATGAGTATTTAAAAAAAATATATATATATATATATATTATGAATTGTTAGAATTATTTTGAATTATGAAAATATATAAAATATTTTAAAAAATATTTTAAAATTATGATAAAAATTTATTTTAAAAAATAAGACGAAGAATAATATCATATGAAATTAAAAATGAAATTAATCATGTATAATATATTTACATATGTGTAACATGTGTGCACATGTATACTATGTATATATAATATATACAATATTACTCAAAAAATTTAATAATCTCAAATTAATAAATTTTCAACACTAATTGCAATTTTTTTTTTTAATTATCCGATCTAAAAGTTATTTATTTCATGAGAAATAAATTTCTTTGTTAAAATTTTCTTTGTTAAATTTCTTTGTTTAAATTTTTTATTACGGCATTATCGTTAAACAAATTAAACGGTTTATTATATATGGAATTTTTTTCGCAAAGCATATATAGATCGTATTGAAAAAATAAAGACGCAGAGGAATTAGTGATCAAACGAGCAAGCGCATAAACATATCGTATACGTACTGTAGGTGCGCGTGCACACAAAGCGACCGAATAGTCAGACAGCCAGGCAAGCAGGCAAGCATGGAAGGCACGATGGAAAAAGCAGAATGACAGTTGGTAATTATAACGAAGAGCGGATTCCGTGGGGTAAGACTGGTGAGCCCCGTGGAGGTAACGAAGTCCGCGCCGCGGCGCGCCACCACGTGCCTAACTAGCTAGCTGGTTTGCTGACTGCGTGCTAGCTCGGTAGCCACGCGTTATAGCATCGTAGATGATGGCGTCTTGTAATACAATTTTCAACATATTACGAATAAAGAGTTTTATATCAAATAAAACGATAATTTTTAATAAAATTATAAATTCAATTTTATATAATACCTTTACAAGTCTAACGATTAATGAATTGATTTACACTCACCAATGCGATGATCCATAATGAAAAATTTGAGGTAGACGTAATGTGCACGCGATGTGGTAACGTCCTCGTGGGCTTGAGGTGATTATTCGATACTTGATGAACTGTTAAATAGAAAGAAAGAAACTAAATACAAAAAAGAATGAATACACTCTATAAATACGATCAGAACTCGTGTCACATTTATAATATAATAGCCACGCAAGCTAAACGAATAAACTAGGAAAAAAACGTACAAAGTTTGACCAGCAATTCGTGGGGACGCGTGCACTAACACGATGAAAAAATTACATGATCGCGCGACACGAGCTAATTCAATTTTTGCCGGTCATCGAGTTAGAATATACGAATGATGAATGACAAACAACACCAAAAGATATGCCATGTCCATACCGTAGGACAGTTAACACGCGGCGTGTTTCACGATTTCTTTCTCTCTCACGTTTTCTTCTTCGACCAACTGATCTGTCGTCCGACAACTCACCGGCGTATCTTTGTGTAGTTTCTCTATGTTTCTTTCGTTCACACCGTCGTTTTTTGATCAAATTACTTCCCGTTATAACTAATTTCTTGTTGTCTGTGACAGATAAACACTACGAATGCGGCGGGTTCTCGTAGCGTGTGCGCCAGCGTCAGTAAGATTGACAGTCGGCGCTGATGACAGACAGGTGCGCCCGCCTTCCGGCCTAACAAGTCGGCAACCTACCGTTCTGCTTACGTATCTTTCTCTGTTCGTTCGCATACCCGTCTACCCGCCATCCCGTCTACCCGCCAAGATCCTTAGCACGTTATGCCATTTATCCTCTCTTTTAACATTTTCCTGCCATCTAGTGACGATTGACCTAAAACATGCATATGCCATCTAATTGTACACATCTTCTTTTTCCACTCATTTCAAATAAATAGTTCATGTATCTATTCATATATTTATTCCAAATAAATAATAACATTCATTCATCTTATATTTATTTCAATTTTTCTATTATATTCGAAACTGTTTACAAAATTTCATCTTTTATAATATAATTTTTCTTTTTGAATAACTTTATCGTAATCGTTTTGAGTTTTCTTATTTTTATATATATACATACATGTATTAAAACACGTTTTCATCTTCACTCGTCAAATATATATGTATAGTCATAATTATCATGTCATTGGCATTAATTTTTAAAATAATAATAAAATAATTTTTAAAATAAATTATGATACGAAGGTTACATTATTTCACGATTATTATTAAAATTATATGAAAATTTATATATACTAAATTCAATTTATGAATTGATTTACATTTCATAAAATAATTTGATTAACAGATTGATTAAATAAAATAAGTAAATGCAAAAGAAAACGAAGAGTATATTTATTATAAAATAATAAGAATATAGGAATATAGGAATCACAGAAAGAATAAAAAAATTAACCAATACTTTTTAATTCATCATCATTGACATTATTTTTTAATTATGTGATTTATTATGAACAATATTTTACTTATTTTATTAGTGTGTATATATATATATGTGTGTGTATATATATATATATATATATATACTAATTATATGAATTCTAAAAGAAAGGAATAAATGGAGCTTTCTCATATTTTCTTTCTCCAGCATTTATCTGACGCTGAAATTCTCCGTGTATCATTTCTTGTCTGTGCATTCGTTTCTCCTTATACAAACATTCATCAAGATCAAGAATTAGTGCGTTACATTTCTCTTGTCCTTTAAAAAATCCATATGCTTCCACACATTCAGCTAAGCGCAATTCAAAATCTTTACAAGCTGAATAATATTGACTATGAATTGAAACTCCAAAGAAATCGGTGATTGGAGTTTTAAATATAGGTTCCATGTAATTACGATATTTTGGTATTTTATTATCCATAATTCTAAAACTTATATAAAGAATTAAGAATAATATTATTGAGTTTATAATGCTTACACTATATTATAATATCTATTATTATGATATATTATAATATAACCTTCTTGTATAGTTTTTTCCATCTTATTTATTTTTATATTGAAAATATGTATATACTGTAAATAAAATATACTATATAATAAGTTACCTAAGAAAATACGTAATGCGTATATAATAAATCAATTCTATTTAAAAGAATAATTACACTTCGAAATAAGCCGAAGGGTACTTTCTAAAACTTTCTGTTATGTAACATGTAACAATATCCTATATCGATAATTTCGCTATCATCGCCATCTACGTATATATAATAAACGTATAAAACAAGTATCGAGAATTACTATAATTATAATAATAAATAATTAAAATAATATATTATTTAGTAAAAATTGATATGATTAATGATTTTGAAAAAAATTAAGAAATAACATTATATTTTATTTATATTACAAAATATTTGGAATTCAATTTAAAAAAGTATATCGTATTTAATTATATTCTTTTATTAAAAAAAGAATAAACTATTTTTTGCCAATAATGAATATTATATTATATTTATTCGTTATAATAAAAAATCTGTTATCTCTTTTTTTAAATTCGCAATTTGTAATTCCTTTTGAATTGCATCGAGTATGAAATTAGGTAAAATATTATCCATTTCTTTTACATTTAAAAAAATTAGACTGCAACTATAACATAAATATTTTTCAATCATTGATCGTCTTAAAAACGAATTACAAACATCAGTTTTACATTGACATTTTTTACTTGTAAGAGCATTTATACATTCAGATTGTTCATTACTCGATTGTGCACAAATATTTGACGAATTCATAGTTGTATCTAATGAAATGTCTGTAACTGTAGAAACTAATTTGGAAAATAATTTTGCTTGTACAACTGATAGCTCTTCTTTAGACAAATAATTTGAATCTCTAAAATTTAATTCACATAGTATACAAATATTATTAACATCAATTTTATTAGTAACAATCTTTGTATCATTATTCATATTATTAAATGGTTCCACATTTGTAGCTAATTTTTCACTAGTACGATATATTGTAGATACAGTACTATAAAATTCAGAATCTAGTTTATAAATAAAGTTTTTTGCAATATTCCGTATAGACGCAGGGAAACATAAATTACATTTTTGAGGATTAAGAATTGGATGTAATTCGCAACATTCCATATATGCAATTATATCATCTTTTGTAAAATCTCTGAGCGGTCTAAGTAATTTCACATCACTGTATCTTTCATCAGAAAAAGCAACATTAAAAGACAATTGGGAACCTCTGCCAGTTGATACATCTCCAAGGATTTTTATAGCTAGATCAATAGATGTATCAGCAATGAAAACTTTATTACAGTTAAGTTTACGAGCTGCAGATACAAGTAATTTACGTCTTAATTGTTGCAATAATTCATCCCTTGCCGTATCATTTTCTAAATTATTAAAAATTTCTTGTAACATTGTATCTTCTTTAGTAGTATTCATTAATGGAACATTTATTGATTGTAACTCTTTATAAGTAATATCAATTGTACATTTTGACAACGATGAAATGTACATAGTTAATTGCAAATTTTCAGCTTCTTTAGCTAATGCATTTCGAATAGATTCTCTTTCTTCGATCGAACGTTTTTTTATTACACCATCTATATAAATAAAAAATAAAAAATATTATATTGTATTAAGCATGTGTCTAATAATTTTTTTTTCTAAATCTAACAAGAGAAATGATAGAAATATTTACCATCTATATAAAGAACTTTAAATGGAAATTTAAGCTTCTTGGAAATTGATTTATTAATATCAGCTGTAATAAGATGCAAAAGTACAGTTGAATTTGCTTTCCCTGAATGAGCGATAAGTACAGTATCGTTTGCACGCACTGATTTCGACTTGCCGAGAGTTGCTCTAAACTTGTGTATCAATATAGTTAAAAAGCACATTTTACAATACTGATTTTTATTTTTTAAAAAAACTTGCACTTTTTGACAGCCACATTTTTTGCAGAAAGGCATAGTATTATGTATATCCATAGTATCAACAAAAGAAGAAGTGATTCTATAAAAAAATTTAAGAATTGCATAAACGAAAAATTATAAAATAAATAGACATTATTTGTTATCTCCTAAAATTATAGAGAAATTATAATATAATACACTTACATATTTTCAGTTATATTTTCTATCTCAAAAGTATCAAAAGTACATTTAGACGTATTTTTCGTACACATTTTATTTGCTTTTGTATAATGTTGCTTTATCTATAATACGAATAATTACTCAATACTAACCATACATAATTCTAACCATCATGTTTTTGAGCAAACTATATAAATTTCAATTGTTTATAAATAATAAATTTTTTTTAAAGTAACAATAAAAATATATAAATATTTATATATTAATAAAGATAATTTAGAAAAATTCCAAAAAAATCATACATTCATAAAAATTATTTATACGATAATTATTTCGATTTATTATTTCATTGGTACGCTTGAACAGAGTTACCATCATCTTTGACATAGATTATTTATCGGTATTTATTATATTAATTATTCATAAATATAATTGTTTGTTTATCAATTATCTAATTTATATTTTTGCAAATATTATAGGTATTATTTCTTTTAATTTATATCAAAAAACAAAAGGTTTTTAAGAGGTTATGTACGTGAATTTCAAAAAATAAAAATAGTATAGTAAAGTATTAATTAATTAATAGTATAATAAAGTAATTAAAAAAACTTAAACAATTACAGTGAATAATAAAAATGTTTGGAATATTAAATCTAGCAAATATTATTTTTAGGTATTCATTCATTAAATAATTAACATTTGATATCTTGATAATTTGTATTTATATTATTTACAATTACAGTTACTTATTGATGCAGGTCTTCATTATGTTCAATTAAAAATTCATGCAATATCTCCACATACACACATCCTTTATATTTTCGAGCAACAGAGATACTTTTGTAAGTATCATATTAATCATATTAAAATTCTATTTTTTGAAAAAGTTTTAATTATTATAATTATTATTATTATATTTGTTTGTTTTAGAGGAGAACCCTTAAAAAAGAAAAAAAGAATTGATCCTGCAGTAATTAGAGCTAAAGAAGAAAGAAAGAAAAGGAAGCTACAAAAAAGAATTCGCATGTTAGAAAAACATGCAAATCATATGAAACCAATTTTTGAAATCGATACATTGGCCGAACAATTGCAAAATGAGTATGTCCAGCGTAATATAGAATATATATCATATATGTGATCATATATATAAAGATTTATGCAATAATATATTATATATATATATGAAAATATTTACATAAGAATAAATATTTCTTAGCAAAAGATCTTGTCATTTGACATCATTATCAGAGGAAGAAATAGAAAGGAGAAGATTATTAGAAAGAGAATGGATTAAATATAAGCAATATCAATGGTTAAAAGATTTATATGTTATAAAATCTATGCTGGCCTCACAGAAAACAGCATTGGAAGAATTAAAAGCTGTCTCAAAACAGCTTTATAAAAAAGCAATCGAAGTAAATATTTATATTCTATTATTTAATAAGAAAAATTTACTAATTAAATGATATATTGATATATATATATATATATATATATTTGTATAAATAAATGTTTCAAATCACATTTTTTTTCAGTTTGATGATTTATATTTACCGTATGATGTAATTGGACCAGTACATACTCCACCAATAAAAAATTACGATAGTCCCGATGGTGAATATATAGAAACTACCATTAAATATGTAGGAGAATAAGTACACAAAGCAATGGAATGGATCAATAAAAGAATTAATTTAAATAAAGGATCATAGGAGTGAAAAAAAGAGTAAGACTCTCGTTAAAACTTCTATAATTAAATATAATTCTCATTAATTATCAATTTTTTGATCATTATCAATCTACGAGTTTACGAATTAAAATTGTGTAAATTTAATAAAAAAAATTTAATTTTTCAATTTAAATAAAATACGAGATGTTATAAATACATTAAATTATTATTTTACGTTACAATTATACAACGAGAATATTTTACATTAATCGACGTATCGATATTTATAAATAAATTTAATAATTTATTATTAATTTAATTATTTTTTATTAATATATTTGTATGAATATTTATCGGTTAAAAAAGTATTTCCGTAAAAATGGATATACTTCGATTAATTTACTCTCACATTTATGCGTCAGTTATCTCTTTTTAATAATTTAAAAAAATATCTATTAAAATATCTGATTTTGTCTTTAACATATAGAATAAATAATGATAAGACAATTATTAGGAAATTTATTTTTAAGGGATATGTTTATTTAAACGTAGCATAAGACTAAAATAAATTTTATGAAAATTTTAATTCTCTTTTACATACGGGACAAATATTACCAGTCTTGAGACACTGACGTAAACAATCTGCATGAAAAAGATGACAACAAGGTGTTATTCTCGCCTTGAACATATCGCAAAGACAAACGGCGCAAACATCATCAAATTGTTTAATTTCTTCAGGTGTTGCTTTTCTATAACGATTCAATATTTCGTATTCAAGTTTTAACGCAGGTCCCGAAATTCGTAAAAGATCTTTTAATCTTAAATAGATATTCAAATAGATAGCTATAAATAAAAATTTCCAGGATGCTATTCGTACGAGTAAGATTAAAATAAGAAAAGCCGATGCGCTAATAGTGAATGATTTTAATATTACCGGAGCATAAAGCTCTTCAAGATTTTCAAACATCTCCAAATGAAGAAACTTCAAAATCGATGGAAACATCTCGGCGAAGATTTTCTCCGTTGTCAAATAATAAATCCATGTTATCATCGTGTAAGTTGTTGATGGTCTATAACAGCAATATATATCGTGTATGTGTGTGCGCGCGTATGTATATATATATTATATATATATATATATAATATACATACATCCATTCATACGTACATATATATATATATAGTATATTATTGTATATTATATCTACATATATAATATATATAATACGAATCAACCGAATTAATACGTTCTATTATTTCTTTTCCTTTTCTATATTTTTCCTCTTCATCTATATGATAATTGATACTCACTTGTAATGTTCTAGACCTTGTTCCAAACCAAAAACAAGAAGCATAAATGTTAGCGTTACAATAAAGGTGACGGCTTTTGTCCATTCAAAAACTATTTTGGTAGCAGACATAGCTAAATGTTTAATCTTGGACCTTTCCGTGAGAGTCACATAAGGTGACCAATCTTCCTTTTCGATTAATTCTTTAATATAGCTAATACAGTAAGTAATCACGTTATAAAACATTAATGTATAAAAACATGTCATTTTTGGTTCTAGTATAAAGATGCGATCAGCCAGCATAAAAAATACAATTTGATTTATCATCATACAAATATTCTTCATTTTAAGAAAAAGATTTTCTGCTCGATCAATCGGATCATACAATCGTATCAAAAATATATTTAATTGTTGCCACATCATCTTGGTAATTCACCTTTAAATAAAACAATAATTTAACTTAATAATTTTAATTGATTTATTTATCATTATTATTATCTCTCTCTTTATCTCTCTTCTTCGTATCTTTTTATATTTCAAAATTCAAATTAAAGAAGATTGTATTTAATTATTTTTGCATAATTTAATAATTTGATCTATATTTTGATCTGATTCGAAACAAGAAAATAGTATACGCGTGCTATCTTTAATTTCTCATAACTGTGACTATGCTAGCTTGAAAATTGAAAATTATCAACTATATATGCGAACATGAAAATTGTACTTACCTTAGCTTAACTTCACCAAATTTTGCACAAACAAATATAATATAAATAGACACCAAATAATAGCACACTTGAGGAACATACATTTTATTTCAAATATAAACGAAATAATATTTAAATATTTCTAATAGTAGATACATACACAAGTTCATATATATTTATTTTCATTATATTTATATTTTGTATTATATAATTTAGAATTGTTAATCGTGGCCAATTATATATCACTTTTTTTTTTTTATTTTTTTTTAATTCAGTTACATTCTCTCGATTATTGTTCTTCGATATATGAAACGTACATCCTAATAATTTCTATGATAATTGTCTATTATTAAAACTGTAGCGAGGTAAGAGAGAGATAGGAGGGAAGGGGGAGGGGGGTGGGGGGTACCATTTAAGAAGTCAAATATTTTCTTTTATAAAATATTCTTATATAAATTTCATTATACGAACAATAGCATTATTTTATTGGAATATGTAAAAATGTGCAAAAATGCATTCAGCATACTTATCGATATTTTTATTTATTTTTTATAAATCCGAGATTTAATTATAACTGTTCTTTTTAACTGGTATTGACTTTTCTATAATACTAGAACGTTTCCATTATCCGTTTGTCGTTATTGATTATTTTTTCTCGTTTAAGTTCATGATAACGAATTGAATTCCATTAGAACCATGCCCAAATTGATGCTGTTTTTTTATCCGCGAAAATAATTTTTCTTCACGATCTGTTTAATATATATATTTCTTAACAAACAGTATGCTCTTCCATCTGGATTATAATAATCGTGAATAATTTTTAATTTTATTTTTGCATATATTATATTTTTATGATATGCGATGGAAAGATATATTATATATTTACATCAACTTCGTAAGAAATTTGTTTTGCCGTAGCACGGCAATTGGAGACAACATATAATATTCCTTGTTTTTCTCGATCGGATAATATAATTCTTGACCGTATTCCATCCTCTTCTTCTTCTTTCCATAAATTTCGATAGCATTTTTTATAAAATTTTATTATATATTATATACATTTATGTATATTATATACATATATTACTCGATATTATTATTCGAAATAATAAATTTTTGATTTCTGAAACAAAGAATTTTTGTTTTTGATTGTTTTTTCGATAATTTTTTCATGATCCACAATGTAAATTTATACGATACATTGTTGTACTTTTAAAGTTCGAGAAATATTAAAGATAACGTGAATAGAATTTCAGTGTGCTATAAATCTGTGTCTATATTTTTTACGTGTTTATATTTTTTTCACGTAGAATTTAGCCAAGTGTCAAAGTAGCTAAGGTAAGTTATATTTTTATATTCGCACGGCTCAATGTTTAAAATGCGTATCGCGTTTTAAAATTTTCAAATTACATATCGTAAACTGAGAAATTAAAGATAGTGACGCGTGATTGATCGATGCATCGACAATTTCTTATCGATTTGGTCAATAGAATAAATTTGTTAACGAAGAGTGACAAGTGCAAACAACATGTCAATAAATGACGACCTTTTTTTGTTTTTCGTAACGTTTCAACTAAGAAAATTTACATATTAATGGATGTTCGTCTAAGAAAATCAGTGCAAATAAGGAAAGACCTGTCTGGAAGGATATTATTCACGATACGATGGATAATTAGGGCGAGAAGCAGGAATTTCTCTTGACAATCTAGATCATCTCTAAGGGGTGAAACGATAATAGATACATCGATTCATTTTGTAAAATCAACAGCTATGTGCCTTCCTCCCCCTTCCTTCTCTTGCCCTTTCTTCATATCCCTATAAAATAAACCGCACTTGGCTTCAATGGCACATTCAACGTCTTTCCGTCTTCGCGTTATCATATTTTCTTGCTCATTGTTATTTAATTCTACGCGACTAGAAACACTTGGATCCGAATATCTTCTTAGGGTGAGCACTGAGTGCACCGTCTTATGCTTTTCATAACGGTCATCATCAGTTTCTTATTACGTACATAATATATTTCATTCTTTGTTTTATATCAAAGTGGAAAGTCAGTATAATGAATAAATGGAGAAAAGAGGGGTAGAAAAAAGGATCGTGTAAATGAGAATAAGATAGAAAAATGAGAGAAACCATCAGAAAAGGTGGGGGAGGGTGGAGGATATTAATATATATATATATAAATTAATATATATATATATATATAATTATATATAAAGTTTAATAAATTGAAAAAAATTTCTATCATATTTACATATAATAATAAAATAAATTATGCGATGATGTATCATCATAGATTTAATCGTATATTTTTAGTTAACTTTCATTTGTAATTATATACATACGTATATAATTAATATTGAATATTCTTGGAGAAAGAAAAAATAAAGATAAATAAGATAACGAAATAACATAAAAATCGAAGAAAATGGAAGATTCATGTTTAAAATACAAAGAAACATGTTACTAATTTATCTTCATTAATTATCAAAATTAATTTAGCTTTGGTATTAAACTCGATTCGATAAAATACAAAAAATACAAATTTGGCAGAAATATAATTATAAATTTTATTATTATTTTAACTCTTTCGTGTAAGTTACTTCTATTATGAATTATTTCTCGGATAATAAAAATTTGCGAAATAATATATATGATATATATACGATACTTTTCAACGAAACGATTATAATTTGAAGATCTTAAATATAATCGTTATAAATTTGCAATTTTTAAATCTTTAAAGCTTTTATGTCTAGCAATAAGCGTACAACAAACATAATCGGAACAATCTTTAATAAAAGAAGAAAAAACACGACGATTAAATCAAAAATTCGTAAAATATTTTATCAGATTCGTTCCTTATAACTTCAATGCATCGTTCAATTTATTTACAAGAAATGAATTGTTTATTTCTCGTGATGTGAGTATCAACTCGTACAATTATATTGGAAAACTTGAATTAATATTATCAATGAACCAAAAACTCGTCCTAGTACATCAATCGTCACAGTTGAAATTAATTTCACCGACTAAAACCGCCTCTTTTTTCGATATATACTTGGCTAAAAAGAAAAAAGAAAAGAAAAAAAAAAATCTTTTTCTTTATACGCCGATTCGTAAAATAATTAATTAATTATCTCGTGGTTATTCGATATATATATATGTATAATATTGGAAAACTTAGCACGATTCATTCATTGTTTTCTTCGTTCGGATCGGATCATACACTTTTCAATTATATTTTCTGAAACAAATGATCTTGCAAAATTTAATATTTTTTTAATAATCAATAATTATCCAATTTCATCTCGCGTCAAATTTTACAAGATCGTTGATCGTTGATTGCGAAAATTGATTATAAAAAAATGGGAAATATAAATGTTCGAAACTGCTCAAGGAATTAAATTTAAAACATAGAAAATATAAATATAGAATCAAAATGAAATGTTAAAAATGAATATAAATTATTTATTCGCAATAGATCATTTTTAAAGTTGAATTTTCAAAATCATCAATTTATCGTCTAGATTTATTCATTATATATTCTTCAAAAGAAATAGAAGAAATGAAAACTTAAAATTGATATTATCGAAAATAGTAAGTAGAGGAAAAAGAGAAGAGTTTCATTTAACGTAAAGCGAATGAAACGGAAGCGGATGATACCTTATCTCACTTAGCTCGCATATTGACTTTCTCGCTTGTAAACGTATAAATATCAATATAAAAAATATCAATATATGTATATACATTCATAAAATAAATTATTTTTGTGGGGGAGGGGGGGAGGAAGGAGGGAAGCAAATATTTGTGCATGCGTGCGCAAATATTTTACAAATTTTACTTCAAATTTGTTTCAAGAAAATTATTTTGCTTCAGACTTTTTTTCTGCGATTTGAAATATGATATACGAGTATACATAGCTTAATAAAATTTTGTTTATAGTTAATAATAATACCCTTAATATTTGTGATATGTACATATATGTATTGAAAAAACAGTACGCTCATTTAATCATCTCTATTAGAGGGAAACAAATCTCGAATTTTGTTTCAATTTTGTTTCAGATCTACGGAACGCGAAATGTTTGCTATACAAACAATCCGCATAGCTGTACTGCTTGCCATTGTTTTTCTGTAAGAATCTTCAAAGCTTCAAAACATTTGATTTTATTCTATTTATTTTATCTATTTAGATCTTATTCTATTCGTAAATTTCATTAAATGGATTACGATATCGTTATACTTATCGTTCGTTTTCTCTTTTAATACGATATCTGAAGTGACATGGAACGAACAATTCGTATAACACATGTTTATTTTTATTTATAAAAATTTATTTAAATATTAAAAAGATACACGGATATTTAATCATCTTAACGACCCGATACAATATCATGCATCAATTACGCTATATGAGAAAAACAAGGATCAAAGAGAAACATAAACAAATTTGATATGGTATTATTATAGGTAAATGTATGACAATAATGTACCTATACTTGATTTGATCAGGTTTGATAAATGTTCCGGTTATCCATCGATAAAATATACACAAAAACAAGGAATAACATCTTGCAATGGATGTGGTGATTCTTGCCACAAATGCAAATACGGTATTGCGATATCGAGCGTTTGTGGCATTGAGCAATGCGCAAAGGCGAGTATTAAGAAATGAATCTATATTTTTATATTAATAATTAATCGTTACTAGTTAGAAATCGATCGAGTTACAATATTTTACGATAATTCTACGATAATTTATTTCTCCAGGGGCCCGATGAATTGTGCGGAGGACCGCAAAATTTTCTTGGTATTTGTGCCGAAGGTATGCAATGCAACTGTAATAAATGCATCGGTTGCAGCGCAGAGAAATTTGAATGTTCCAAGACACCAAATCCTTGTTTGCCTCACAGAAGCTCGGAATTCCGCGATGTCAATAAATTTAGAAAATGGTCTTCTATCGCGATCAATTGAAATCGATTTATAAATTTGACAGATCGTATCGTAATCGAAGGAGGATTAAACGACAGTTTTATTTCGCCATTATTCTTAAATTATACGTATATAGATTGATCGAATATTGTAACGATAATCATAATGCACTATCGAGCAATGCTCAATCTCCGACTATCCAACTTAATTGTAATAATAATTTAAAATGAATCTACCGAAAAATTATTGGCATTTGTACTTAAGTATTTATTTACTTACTTATTTTATACGCGATCATTAAGAGAGAGAGAAAGAGAGAGTGGGAAGAGAAAGAAAACATTGATATAAGAGATGATGGTAAAGAGAAAATATGTATATATGTATGTGTACATGAGTGGACGGAGGAAAATAGAAGAAACGATGAAACGATCGAACGAGAGAACGAACGATGGAAAATGAGCGAGAAAAATGGAAAAGAAGCGGGAATTCAAATAATTTTCGATTCAATTATTTTTATTTTTTCTTTTTCCTTTTTTTTTTTGCGTCACGAGAAATAACAAAAATAAAATATTTGAAAATTCTTTCGATGTGGTTCAATAATAATTTAGTTTGAATTTACTTACATACACATACATGCCCGTTTATTACGTTATTAATAATAATGAAAAAATAAAAAGAAAACGATTCAACTGTCGTGAGTACTTCGAAATATGAAATAAAAAAAATGTGAGAGAGAGAGAGAGAGAGAGAGAGAGAGAGAGAGAGAGAGAGAGAGAGAGAGAGAATGCGAAACGAATCGATGGATATCATTAAAACGTTTAATAAATTATTAAATATAAGTTTGATTCTAACTTGATTTCTAATTTTCTACGGTACTTAAACGATAATAGAAAAATTATATATTAAACGTCAATATATCATTAAGGTATGTATATGTTATACATTTCGTAAATAAAAATAAAACGAAATGTCGATCAATCTCGTTAGTAAATATATTCGATATTTTGTAATTTCTCAATATCTCCCTTCTCATTGTTCGTTGATTTCATTAATTGTTTCTTTTTCATGTCCCATTTATTTATCATGACTATACGATAAAGATAGAGGGACATCCTGCTTGATTTGACAAATATAACGACTCGTCTCTTTCACATATACCGTAGAACAAATCGCATACATAAAATATAATGTCCAAAAACAGCACGGTAAGAATTTTAGAATTTGACGTATGAGCAGTTTCGTCGTAAAAAGCAAAAACTTATACATACATATAATATAGTATATGTATATGTATACACATAACCAATTTATTTTTGCATACCTCCAAGATCGGTAGTAAAAATATTGGAAAATGTAACACCGTTGATCGTAGAATATTATTTAATCGTACTATGAATTCACGTTAAAACATTACTGTTAAACGGTTGGACGGTAACTAGTCGCTGATCAAATATTTTCATGCTTCGCAAAATAGTACATAATGTCAACGTTGTTGCCAACATTCACCGTTGGTTCTCACTGATGCTATTTCGATTGTTCCTTGATATAGGTACTTATGAATCCATTCGAATCTTACGGAGATCATTCTCGATATTAATACGATAACCTGTACGTATAGCGATCGTTGTAGAATAGATCAAGTTTAAGTACTTAAATAATCAATAGTTACGATATCAAATACGCAAAATTCAATTTAAATTCAGTTGAAATTCCAATTCTATATCCACGTTCCGATACTTTTTATCGTACTCGTATCGATAAAAATTATTTTGTTTGTCATGAAATGTATATATATAATATATATAAATATATATTATATAAATAAAATATACGAAAATTTCATAATTACATTTCATTCATTAATCTTTTGATTCATTCACGTGTAATTTTATATTCTATATCTAATAATATATTTATATCTAATAATAGTATATTTATATCTAATTATATCCTTATATTATCGCTTTATTTTCTTTCGTTTTTCTGCTATACGATTTTCGCATAAATGAAATAAAAAACTTCTTAAGAGCAAAAAATAAATTAAATTCATCGATTCTTCGATCGATATTCGTCGATGTTTTGATGAAAATACATCGCATACTGCATTTTTTTAAAGATTTTCATTTTTTTTAAATTAAATATACATTTCTTTTTTTTCTTATTTTGTATATCTTCTATATATATGTATAATATAACATATAATATAGTTGATATATATATATATATATTTTAAAGCATAATGCACTTATAAAATAAATTATTGTCCAATTCAATTTGTTTCATGGATCGACGATAATTCTTTTTCCTTCTCGATATTATCCTTACATTCGCTATCGTACATTCGTTCTTCGAAAAAAATTTCTTCTTTTTCTTCATCGATATTTGCAATATCAATTTCTTCTATAATTATAGGCCTTGGTGTATCATCGATCGCTAATGGCTCACGTATATCATCAGTATTGAAATCCATATTTGTCTCTTCCACACGTGGAACGAGAATTTTTTCCGTTGTACAAGCTTGATCGAACGCACGATCAATGCGAAGGATAGGAGACGAAGCGTTTTGAGAAGGTGATTCGGTCCAATTCGATTTGTTTACGAATAACGTGAAATTTTTCAAGATATCGATGCCACGAGGAACAGTTATCCGAGAAGAATCGAATAATGTTACGCCAGGAGAAACTGTTGCATATCTTTCGTTACTTGGAAGCGTAAGGATAATATCATTCGTCGTTCGATGTATAGATTTTAAAGGACAAACATTTTCGGTGAATAAAATATTTTTTGAAATTTCGACAAAAGGTAACGGCAAGGAATCGTGAAATTCTCCAGTGTGTCGAAAATTGGCAATTTTTTCGTCTCTCTTTTGTTGATTTTCGGAAAAAGTCATTTTTATTTCATCCTAAAATATAAATTGGAAGAATGATTATTTATAATTGGAAGATGGTTATTTCTTTATTTATTTTTATTTAACTAGAATTATATCGAAAGTTATACGCATGCAAATCGTTTCTCAGAAACAAGCTTTAGCTTTTTTAAAAAAACGCTAATAAGATATTCGCGTGAACGACCAAACAAATAAATTCTCATAAATTCGACAGATAACATTTATCGGATGTATCGGATCATCGGATAAATGGGCATTCGAAGAGGAATCATATATACTAGTAATAAATAAGCGGTACAACATTAAACCGAAATGACATCTTGTTTCTGGAGAATAATTACGATCGATCGTGTCATGCATTATGAAACATCTTTATTATTTATATACGTATCGTTAAATTTTCAAATATGAAAAAGAAAGAAAAATACTTGCTTTTGCTTTTTCTGTTTCTTCTTTTTCTTCGCTCGTTTCTTGTTCGTTTTCTCTTTCTTCTACTTCATTTTTCTTTTTTTCTTTTATAATTTGCTCGTCACACGATCGAATATCATCGATTTCTTCTCGATAAGAAAGATGATCGATCGTCGTTTCAAGTGTCGATTCTTGCACGGATGGATGAAATTTAATCGCAAAATCATTCAATCCAGATTTACAAGTGGAAGATATCGGATCCTTAAGCGGGAAAACAGTCACGTCCCTCGATTCAACGTTTTCCCAAATTATCGACGCGTCGAGAATAAAATTTTGTATCAATTCTCTCGCAATTTCCTCTTCCACGAAACGAGAATCGTTTCCATATTTATCACAAACAACAGGCATATCGATAGATTTATCGTCTTCAAATTTTGAAGTTTCAGTTTTGTTTCTCTCATCCTCGATCGTTTCATCTTTTGGCGGTTGTTCGATAAATACTTCTTCTCGAAAACATTCATTTTTCTCAAGAGAAATTTCTTCGATCGGCTGTTTATCTTTACAATCTATGAAAGTACTTTCATCTTCGTGAACATCGTCATTTTTCGATCGATCATCATCATCATCAAAATTTCTCGAGTCGTTTTCTTCGATCGACGATGTCGATGTTTCAATATCACGCGAATTCGAACTGCATTCGGGTAATTTTAGTCCAGTTTGTTCGAACGACGGAGAAAATTCATCGATCCAACGATCGGATCTCCATGTTTCTCTTTCCTCTTTCTTTCCTCTTTCCCTTAGACTCGCATCACTCGTAAAAACGTGGAACGTATCGTTCGTCGTATCAACTTTATACTCTTCCTCGTCGTTGCAATTTGACGGCTTTGTTTGCGAGGAATCACTCGTATAATCAACGCTACGCTCCGTAACGTTGCAAAATTTCTCTCTTTCATTTTCTTCTTCCTCTTTGATATTTCCAAGAAGATCCTCTTGATAAAGAGACGATGTTCGATAAATCGTATTCTTTATATCCTGCAAAAAATGAGCATGAACGCTGGACGAATGATCGTCGTCAATCGTTTCCGAACGTTCCACATATTCTCCAAACGGATCCGCACGATCATCCCGATATTCTTTCTCGCGCTTATTCCAACATGGAACGTCATCACCAACGATATCGTTCGTAATATTTTCGTCGTTCGTTTCGTCCATCTCAAATTCAATTTTATCCGGTATAATAACGGTGGTTACAATTTCCGGTATTTCACAAGGGGATCCTTCGGTAAGGACATAGCAAGAAAGATCAATTTCTCTTTTCGAGGAATAATCACAAGTTCCTCGAACGTTCGAAACGATCTCGTTATTATTATCACCTTTAATGAAAATTTCCACATCGTCGGAACAATTTTTTTCAGATTTTTCCATCGATTCGATTTCGATATTATATTCTTCGCTTTCTCCGCCCACTCTCTCGCTTTTATCCAAATTTTTCCTTGTCCATTCATCCCCTTCGCATATCTCTTGTCTTCTCGTTTCATTCTCGATAATTATCGTATCGTTTTCGTTATCGGTTTTGCACACGCTTTCCAATACTTGCGATGCCAAATTTCTCTCGATATTATATTTAATTAAACGCGATTCTTCCAATTCCTTATTAAAAGTTGAAATCGTTCGAGACGAGGCTAGCGTATTTTCGATACTTTTCTCCACCGTTTCTATTTCCATTAATTTCCTTTCGAGTTCATTCGATCGATATTGTTCTTTCTCTTCCTCCTCCTCCTCTTTCATCTCCTTCTCCTCTTTCTTCGAATACTCCAACGAATCTGGTGTAACGTTCAAACTATCTTTAAAAGTTTCCTCGATCTCCATTTGTTCCAAATTTGAACTTTCCAGAATTTCTAATTCTCCCAGGACATGTATTTCATCGGTATTTTGCTCCATCTTTTCCCGCGTAACAACTCCATTCTCTTCACACTTGTGCCAATCATATTTCCACGAGTCGTTATCATCGTTCGCATCGCTCTTCGAATTCTCGCTTTCGTGTTCTTTCTCAATCGCTTTCGAATCGTAATCGGTATTTGCAATAATTTCGATATCTTTGCGATTTCGATTCGAATTTGATTCTTCGCGTCCACGACATCGCATCGTTTCTTCGTTCAGTCGGATATCAGTTTCGTTCGATAAAAATGGTAACGTTAAATCGTTCTCTTTCTTCATCGGCTTCGATCCATCGCTCGAAATCGGTGGTAAAGTGAAATTGTTCGTGTTATTCCGTTCGTCGAATTCGTGATTCGCGATATTCCTTCCCGTAGAAGATTTTCCAGAAGATGGTGGTCGCGTAATTACAGACGGAAGCGTCACTGAAATGTCAATTCGATCGATACTCGTCATCATTTTATTCGTCACATCGTTAGAAACTTCATTATTCCGTGACTTATCGTTAAACGTACCCTCTTCCATTTCGTTATTTTTCAATTCTTCTTTCTCATACTTTTTTCCTAATCGCAAATTCAATTTCGCGACACCTTCTTTTTCAATATCGCTCAATTTTTCTTCCAATTTGCGCATCTCCGTCTCCTCATCTTCGATCATTATCCTCCTCCATTGTTCTTTTAAATTTCGAAACATTCCACCCTCTATCCCATATTGCCATCGCTGCGTTCTTCGATACTCCTCCACGCTCCCGTTCGATTCTTTCCCATCTTCGTTGTTTACGAGTGATCGACTTCTTCTTCGACCAACGATATTTCCATCTCCATTCCCACATTTAAAATGTATACATGTTCTTTCGATCTGGTCGGCACTTTTTTGCCGTATCAAATTGCACGCGTTTCTTTCGCATTTTTCACATTTTTTTTCTATCTTACTTATTCCATACTTATCCAAAGCAAGCTTACGCAATTTTTTCCGTTTTTCTTTCACTTCCTCATCTTTGATATTTCTCCTTAATGATATATTATCAGCTGACACAGATCGAAAACATTGTCCGCAAATAATTTTTCTCGAAAATTGGTGCGAACCATGATCAATGTGATCGGGACTTATTTTCTCGATCTCTTTTCTCTTTGATCGTACATCGCACAAATTTTCACTTTCTTCAATATGACACGTCGCATATTCGTGCTTTTTCAATACTTTGACAGTTTGATTTATGGACCAACCGATTCCAGTTTCCATTTCTCTTTTTTTTTTCTTCGGTATCACATTCGTTTCTCTCCTCTCTTTTATCGTAGATGTCATTTCTTTTTCCATCCAGTTGTCGTATTTACAAACAAAAAAAAGATCGTTCCAATTTTTAACGTCACCGATATCGTTATTACCATCTACTACGTTCTTATTAAATCCAGCCCAATCGAGAATATTATCGTATTCACGATTCACCGATTTGTAATCCAAAATCTTCGAAACGATTTCATCGGTACGACAATGTTCTTTATCTCTCAATTCGACCAATTTTGCAAAATGTTGAGCCGCAAATGCGTAAATATTTCGAGGTTTTTGTCGTAAAATTTCTCTTGAAAGTCCTTCAACCGCGTGAGCCAAGCCTCGAGGTACTCGAGGTGCGATTATACAATCCATTCTTGACATTGTAGCATGTGATTTCTTCGCGTTTTTTTTATTTATAAAATTTACATATAAAATTGAACGGAAACAAATTCAATTTTTCATTCGCATTTTCCTCTTTTCTATTTTTCTTCCTTCTTTAGAATTATAGCGATGTAATGATAACGCGCTAATGATTACGATACGATACGATACGATACAATTGACGAAATACAACAAATTTATCACTACTAAAAGGGAAAAAAAAGCAAAAGAAACGAAAGCACCGCACCAAAAGTATCACGATTCCACTTACCGAAAGTGAATAGGCACAAGTTGCATATTGTAAACCAGGGATTACGTACATATATATACATAAATATACCTTATATATATAGCACATATACTTGTTTATTACGCATGCACGGAATCGATCGATAGGGTATAGAAACTATAAGTTTCTTTATTTTATTTTTATTCGATATATGTCAATCACGTATTTTATTACATATATCAATTTCAAAATGCCGATAAATCGCACAATTTATTTTTTCAAATTTTTTCTTCTAGAAATCATAAATTAATTTTTTAAGATTTTTGGCATAAAGCGAACAAGCTTCTTTCCCTATACCAGCACTTATACTACAGTATATGTGTGTGTGTGTGTGTGTGTGTGTGTGTGTGTGTGTGTGTGTGTGTGTGTGTGTGTGTGTGTGTGTGTGTGTGNATATATATATATATATATATATACACTGTGAAATCGATAATTCAACGCTACCAATAGCGTTGCATTTATTATTTTACTTTGAAAATTATACATAATCTTATTCGATATTTTTCGATTCTTTAGAACAGAATTTCGAGAAATAGTAAAAAATAATTTTTTTACGTTACGTTAAATTTTTGTAATTCAAAAAATAATAAATATATAATTTTTATAATATAGATATAAATATATATAAATATAGATATAGATATATTTCAATATAAATATTAGAAACGATATTACATATTGTAATACTTACATATCATGGTCGATTAATCCAAATATCATTTATCTTCATACGTTCAAATTCAAATGATTCGTTTATTATTTATTTTGCAAAATTATAACGTTCAAACCTATATATTTAGATATGATATAGATTAGATATATTTAGATATGTAATAGAAAATATCACGTTAAACGTAAATTTTTTTTATTTTTTTTATTATCAACTTTTTTTTTATTAGCAACTCATATTCCAATATTAATTTTAATTATTATACAGAGTAATAAATAATTAACTCTTCAATTTTTTGACGAGGAAATGTTTTTATCCATTTTAATGCAATATTTGAAAACTCTTATTCGTACATATATAGAGACATAAATTCTGATTCGAGAGGATGCAAATTCGTTGCAGGAATGATCAAAGAATGAAGAGGAGGGCCCAAATCGGTAGAAGCCATTCTTTCAAGGGAACAAGCAACGATACGTTGATTGTCCCAACCTATACGAGCTAAACCAATCGCAAGGCTGGATTTATTTAATAAAACTGAAAATTGACAATATTAATTTGCTTAGTAAAACCGTAAAATCGACAATATTAATTTTCTTTTGAAAATTATCCAAGATTAACGTTTACCCATTTCCTCCTTATTTTCTTCCATTTTTTCCTCTATAATTTTTAACAATTGAGCAACAGCTTCCGACACGCTCATAAATCGCGTTGGCATATATTCTCTTTTCTTTTTGCTAATACTCTCTATAGTAGGTTCCTTTATTTTAATATCCAATAAACATAACGTATGAAGATCTCTTCTTCTATTGGAAATTATTTTATCGTAGAAACTATTCGGTTGCCAATCCATGCTCCAATAAGGAATAGAAACAGTTTCTCCGAAACGATACAATTGTAAACCGGAACATCCGATTGCAGTTAATATGGAACAATTGTGAATAACCTTTACCTACGGATAACGAATATTATCTTTTAATGTATCGGTCAAATATTATAATTTTTCTTTTATTAAAGAAACGCTTTTCTTCTTTACCTTTATATTTTTTGCGCGAGCTCTTAAAATTAAATCCGAATGTGTGGTAGCACCAAATGGATCACCCACTACTAGAAAAGCAACATTTTCTTTCTCGTCTTTTGGCAATATTTCGTCAGCATTATTTTCCACTAATTCTCTATCCGCCTCGAGTATCGAACATCCGTAAAATCGTTCCTAATTCGTTTAAATATGCTATCGTTCATCTCCTAATATCGAGCGAGTAAGTACAACGCATAACAAATTCGTGTACTATTATTATTTACTATTAATTATTATACATCATAGACACTTTCATTATCAATCTACCTACCAAATCCTTCAAATCGATAGACAAAATTGATGTGTACGATTCTAAGTAGACACGATCGCTCATTCGAATAATTTCAAGACCTTTTACAGTAACATCTGTTGCATCGCCAAGGCCTAATCCAATCACGTATAACATTTTATACAAAATTTTAAATTTTGTTCACAGTAGATAATGATCAATCAGCAATTAAAATCAAACTATAAAAGTTTGTATTACTTGGATAAATAAACTATATAAAATATATAAAAATCATAGAAGTAGATTCGTTTTACGTTAGAATCTAGTTACCGGATATAAATAAAACCATGTGATCAAAATATAGGGAAATCAAGGGAAATCAATTTTCAATCATGAGATATGAAATAGAAAGTTATTTTTTCATATTCTAATTTGCGTACTCAATCTATTAATTACTGTAAAACAATAAAGAAATAAATAAATTGTTTTCAAAATAAAAATGCATAAATATAAACCCTATTTTCGAAAAAATAAATAAAAAATTGACCTCGATATCGATAAATATTTACATTATATTTTATGCAACAATATAAATCGATCCTAATATAATGATATTTCATCAGTTAATAATTCAATTACGTAAAATTTATTTATCACGTGACGTTGACAAATTTAACAAATATACGTAGATTTATAATATAAGAGATACATAAAGAACATAAATGAAAAAGAAAAGGAGAAAATGTGAGTTTAGGGCAATTCACATTTATCACTAAGTATCATTTCAATAAATATAGTATCAAACTCTGTGTTTTTCGCATGCGTGTTACAAACGCACATTATGATATATATGATCGAACCATTTAACGTTTAACCATTCGTTATGGTTTTTGATGCGTTTATCATATCGATGCGATTATGAGTATTTTCGTGTGAGCATTGTTAATATTAAATTATAATATACGTTAGATAAAATACGGTATATATAATATAAATATATATATTTCATCAGAAAGGTTAGTATGTATCGCATATCGACACTATGATTTAATATGTTATACCCCAGAGATTTTGTATTGTCCGTATATATATAATACACGGATATAACGCAGTTTGTATCGTGTAAATGTATGCTTTATTTTCTATCGTATCTACAACAATCGCGTGTATATTATTTTTTATTATCGTTAAATTATTTCGATTAGATGAACATATCATTTTATATACGGTTTACTTCTATCGCTATTTCCAGTGTTTATTATATCTGTGAAATCAAAAAATGGCATTGCAACGTTCAACCGTTGCATTTCAAACTATCCGTAATTTAAGAAAAATTGATGGAGAAATAAAATTACATCTTCGATCAAGAACTACAACACCCTCAGGTGCCATTCTACCGGAACCAAAAAAAACACGTTTTGGCTTTTTGGGTGTTATTTGCAGTGTCATGACAGGATTAGTAATAGGAACTACATTAAGTAAAATGATGGCTAATTTTCTCGAAGAGAAAGAATTGTTCGTACCTTCGGATGACGATGACGACGATGATTAATTTATTTTCGATACATATTCTATTTAAGGCAAAAAATTTAAATTAATCTTATTAAATTTATTCGCCTTATGTTTTTCATATTAAATCTTAATTAACTTTAAACTTAAGTATCTTCAAACTTTTTATCGATAGTAAAATATCGTATCGTGTATCGTTCTTCAAGCTTTATTCGCAAGCATAGTTGGTTTTTTCTACTTCCAAGAATAGATATCATTTTTCGTTTTAATGAAAATTTATATTAACAAAGTAAAGTCTTGCTGTTCGCTTTTGATTTGTCGATTTTTGAAAATTTTCGCCTAAACGGCGAAAACCACGATCGATGAAAACTTAGTAAAATCAGATAGGAGATAATTACCTAGATGTATAAAACGTGGCGCGGGAAATTAACTTAATTAAAAGTTTAAATATCAATTTGTTCAACTTATCAACAGAGAACGAATCCCTTGAAAACCTAAATTGCTAAATTGTACAGGGAAACGATAAAAATGGAAATCATTTAGCGCGAATTCGCGATGTCGCAGATTAAACGAGATTATTTTTATTATTGTATATTATAAAAAGAGATGTAATATAATTTAAGAATTTTTTTGCAAGTATACGAATATCATATGTATATCATATGTATGTACAAGAGTATTTTTAATTCTCTTTGGAATTTTACTTATCGTTAGAAAAAAAAAAAAAAATATGGAAATTAAATTGCGTATTTTAATTTATTCGACATAATTTTTAAAAAACGAATGGATTTTGCACATAAATGTACGTACATTCATAAATATATTCTATTGAATTGCATATAGATACCTATATACACAGACGTACAAACGTACAAATAAATATCTTGTAAATAATATTTTAATTGATTTCAAAATAAACGCGATCGAAGGAAATAAACAAACACGAAGAATATCCGTATATTAACAATACCTTTTGAAACAAAACTCTAGATGTTTAACCGTTTAAAAAGTTACAATTAGAAAATTATTTACATAATAAATTTATATGAACAGTTGTTTCGTTTAAAATTTGCCTTGATCGAGAAACGTTACCAAAACGATAAAAATTGAGATATTCTATTCTATCAAAAAATTATTTTATTGAAGCGGCCTTTTATGCGAACTCCAACCATGAAAGCACTTGGTGAATCTTCGAGATTCCTTTCCTTTAGCAGTTAGATATAATTTACGCGGTTTATCCGGTTGTTTTACTCGTAAGTGTTGGATATATACCTAAAAATTGTTTTACGCTCATTTTTCACTTTTACTCTCACTTATATCGTACTATTTTGTTCGATAATTTTTCCGACAAATCGGATATTTTTATCGTTCATTTTTTACCTGAGCAGATTTATACGCCAATTTAATTTCTACTTCCGAACATCGACTGCCCAACCATAAAAATACTTGTTCACCGTTATC